AACTGTCTTTGTTAAATCCATATCAATATATGCTAAAGGCCCATTCACAATTTAACAGCCTGCCTTGATTTTGACATTCCCATATCCACATTGGCCCATATAATTCATTTTTTTTTGTTTTGTTTATTCTAAATACATTAATGTTTTTTGGTTCAAGTATTTTCCTACATTTTGTTTCAAAAGAATATCAAAAATTCCCCCCAAAAGTATTTGACTAACATATGTCTTTGGCACTTACAAGATGATGAATTATTGTGTATTTTGTTGTTGTTGTTGTCATCATACAATATTGTATATAGAAAGATTTAAAGACCATAATGTTTCATTGATTTGTGTTGAATCGTTATTGTGTATGAAATATATATATATATATATATAAACAACATACCAATTTTACCTTTAAAAATAAAAAGTTGGGATTTGTAAGAAAATAAAGAAAAAGATTAAATTAAAAGTGAAGTCAAAAGTCAAATCGTCAGCTCTGTCAAAGCCCCATAATTCTTCTCTTCTCTTTCTTTCTTTTTCCTTAAAAAAACAAAAAAAAAAGTAATTTATTCTTCGCCTCACATTTTGTCTTCTCTCTCACTGTCTCCGTTTGTTCCTCGGCTACAGCTCCCGGCGTCTCTCTTCCGTTCCGGTGAGTCCTTCTCTGTTTTCCTGTGCCCGGATCTGTGTCCCTCTCCCTCAGTTTCTCTTTCTCGTTGAGTAAAACGAAGGAACTTTCATGATCGACTTGTTCAAGTTCAAGGATAGTTTGAAAATAGGTGCTAGATGAGTCGATTTCGGTTGCGATTGAGCTGGGTATACCGTAACTAAGCTTGATTTAGCTGATTTATATCTGTATTTGCTATGAATTTGTAAAGTTCTCTGTTTTTCGTGTTTTTGACTGATGAGTCGTTTAATCATATGAAGCAAATAGGTTCGAGTAACCATTTCCTCGCGTCTTGTTGATGTTGTATTTTTCGTTTAGAGCAGCCACTACTCTTTGATTTGACCTCACATCGATACTGTAACCTGCTCTCTGTTTTAGAAAATTTGCTGGGATTTCTAGGGATTTTGACAAATTATTTTGGACTTTTTTTTTAGCTATGTAGAAGCATTCTTATGATTTCTGCAGTTTCAAAGTGAGACGTGTCTGATAACATTACTTTGAGGTCTTGGATTCATTTTGTGATTATAAATTTTATTTCTTTCTTTGCTGTGTTAGATAGCATTTACAGTGCAGCCATATAACTGGTTGGTTTTATGATTAATGGGCACATCATCTGGATCCAATCATCCTCACCAGATGTTACCTCCGCGTCAGCAACTACGGAGTGGAGGTCTTGAAACAGCTCTTTCACTTGTATCTTCGGATCCCAACTTGTCTCACGAAGGCCAGGAGCCACGGTCTAACTCTGACGCTGTGCGCGAGTCTCCAGCCGAGAGTGCGAGTTCTCAAGAAACATGGCCACTCGGAGACGCTGCTGTGGCAAAGAAGACGGTGAAGAAGCAGAAGACGGAGCCTGATTCTCAGGAGCAGCAGACCGTGATGCACCGTGTGTCTAGTGCAGATAAAGTATCAGTACGGGACATAGCTAGGGAAAGAGTCGAGATAGTCGCCGAGAGGATGCACAGGTTACCGGATGAGTTTCTTGAGGAGTTAAAGAACGGCCTTAAGTCTATCCTCGAAGGGAACGCAGCGCAGAGCGTGGATGAATTCATGTTCCTGCAGAAGATTGTTCAGAGTCGATCTGATCTGACCTCTGCAACACTTGTTAGAGCCCATCGGGCACAGCTTGAGATCCTCGTAGCGATAAATACCGGAATCCAGGCGTTTTTGCACCCGAACATCAGCCTGTCTCAGCCGTCTTTAATCGAGATTTTCGTATACAAGAGATGCAGAAATATAGCCTGCCAGAGCCAACTACCAGCTGATGATTGCTACTGCGAAGTATGCACCAACAGGAAAGGATTCTGCAACCTTTGCATGTGTGTGATCTGTAACAAGTTTGATTTCTCTGTCAACACCTGCCGCTGGATTGGATGCGACTTGTGTTCGCACTGGACTCATACAGATTGTGCTATTCGAGATGGACAGATCACCACAGGATCCTCTGCTAAGAACACAACAGGTCCAGGAGAAATGTTGTTCAAGTGCAGGGCATGCAACCGCACGTCTGAGCTGCTGGGTTGGGTTAAAGATGTGTTTCAGCACTGTGCACCGAACTGGGATCGGGAATCTTTGATGAAAGAACTCGACTTTGTTAGTAGGATTTTCCGGGGAAGCGAAGATCCGCGAGGGAGGAAACTGTTCTGGAAGTGTGAAGAGCTTATGGAGAAGATGAAAGGTGGTTTGGCTGAAGCCACAGCTGCCAAATTAATATTAATGTTTTTCCAAGGTAACTACTTTTGTCAAGTGTATACATTCTATTTATTTGTGGATAGATATTACTCTGTTTGTGTAGTCTAACCCTTTTCGTTATCATGTCACTGAAGATATGGAACTAGACTCTGCGAAGAGCTTTGAAAATGGAGAAGGCGGGCGTCTGATAGCACCTCAGGATGCATGCAGCCGAATCGCTGAAGTTGTTCAGGAGACACTGAGGAAGATGGAAATAGTGGCTGAGGAGAAGATGAGGATGTTCAAGAAGGCACGCATGGCTCTCGAGACTTGCGATAGAGAGCTCGAAGACAAAGCCAAGGAAGTAGCAGAGCTGAAAGCGGAGAGGCAGAAGAAGAAACTTCAGATAGACGAGCTAGAGAGAATCGTGAGGCTGAAGCAAGCGGAGGCAGACATGTTCCAGCTTAAAGCCAACGAAGCGAAGCGGGAGGCCGAGAGGCTGCAGAGGATTGTACTAGCGAAAATGGATAAGTCTGAGGAGGAGTACGCAAGCAACTACCTGAAACAGAGGCTAAGCGAGGCCGAGGCAGAGAAGCAGTATCTGTTTGAGAAGATTAAGCTGCAGGAGAATTCGAGGGTGGCGTCACAGAGCAGTGGTGGTGGAGGAGACCCGTCGCAGGTGTTGATGTACTCAAAGATCCGCGATCTTCTTCAAGGATACAATCTTTCCCCCAAGGTAGATCCTCAATCAAACGAGCGCCACCCTTTCAGATCCAATCCTTGATGCTTCCTCCTCATATATATATATATATATATGTAGTTTTCATATCCTAAAATTCATCACTTTGTTTTGTAAAACAAGTGTTTGTAGCCTTAACTCCCATATTTTCTAATTTGTGTGTTCTCTCATTTTGTTGATATGAATTTGTTTTTCTGTTATGTGGTTTCTTCATTTGATGAATAGGTGATCTGTGAAACGCAGAGAGATTTGATTGTGTAAACAACAGTCTGAATTTCCTTTTATTTTATGTATTTACTTTAAGTCTTACATTGACTTTGAGCTATTTAACATTCTAACTCTTATTGGAGGATTCTCAGATAAGAACCTGAAAAAGAAGAGCTCCTTGTTTATATTGATAAGTGTCTAAGTAACACAACCTGCAAAGGTGGATCATAGGAGGATTCTAACTCCCTACACATTACAACAGAGCTAAAATCTTATAAATGACTGATATGGTTAGCTCTCTTAATCATATCTTGAATTCGAAAGTAAATGCCAACGTGTGAGCTTGTTCACATGTGTTTGTTGATTGGTTCGCATATGTGAGAGTTTTCAGATGTGTGTGTTTATTTGTTTCACATATGCTCGGTGTCAGGAACCATCATTCGTATTTGTACTGAAACATAGAAACCAAAAAGTTTGCATATGCCCTCTTGGGTTTTGAACTCGGGGAACACCTCTCAATTGGCTCACTCTACTTTTACCTTTTATCTAGTACTAGATAGATATTGAATATTTTACACTTTATAGCTCTAGAGATAGTTAAAGTTATTAAAATAGATTAAAAAAAGAGAGTTAGCATTGGAAGAAGTGGGCTAATAGAGTTTAGCCAAGAAGAGAACAACGAAAAAAAAGTTACCATTGGAATTTCGTGAGTTCACAAGTCATGTACATACACAACACACTCACATTCACGGTACATGGATCCCCTCTCTGTATGAAGTTACGAAAACGACAAAAAGATAGATATCATGTAAAAAAAAAAACACACACACACACGTTCCAAATTTTGTTAAAAAGTGATAATGGGAGGGTAGATAGATAAAAGAAAAGAACAAAAGAACGGCAAGAGGGGGTTGTGTTGTGGGGTCACAATGACACAACATTCACTTAACAAAAAAGCGAGAAAAGGTGAAAACTGATAGATAATCTATAAATTTCTTGAGTGCTTAGGAAAATTTCTTTCTTTGTGATTCGCAAAATTGATTCTCCACCTTTATCTGAACTTGCCCTTGAAAAATACTTGGAGTAAATTGTACTATATATAACTTCACTTCAAATCTGGCTCTTCAAAAAAGCTATCTAACAAAGAAACCCAAATATTCATTTTCAGCTACAAGTATTTGTTTTATAAAAAAAAAAGTCTCACAAGTCATAAACGTTGGAGTTATTATATAAATGTTTTTAATAAACAGTCAGGGCAGTTTATATTTGACCACTTTTATGGATTTTTTGTATTTTTCCTTAAGATCGATCCAACATGTTTCCGACCGTGAATAAATCGGTTCTGATTGAACGCTAATTCGGTTCAATCATAAAAATGCTATCCTAAAATCTAAACAAAACTAATCAGAAAAATGTAAAACTTGTTACGGACGCATGAAACCGATCAAAATCAACCCAGTTGGTGTTTAAGTACAGTCGTGTGGCATGGGATCACGACATTTGAATTCAAACATATTGTAGTCTTTCTATACCGGTCAACATTCTTTGACTTTGATTTTCTATGGTGTTGTTCTTATTTAAAAATACCAACTACAGTTACATTTTTTTTTTTTTTGTCTACATTATATCTATTCATTCCTTTTTCATAATGACAAAGATTCGAGATACTGAAAGATTGAGACAAATATTGGATCGGGGACATGTATCTTCGATAATTGAGGGTTTTAAAAATATAATGTATGTTCGTGGTGGTGGTCGAGACATGTTTGAGTGGTATAACCGTAAATAACACGCGCAATTGAGATTCTTAACTCTCTCTCTCCTCTCTCTGATAAGAGTGACTTCTAATTTAAAGTCATTCGAGCCATTCCCATGTGCTTTGTCTCCGACAACTCTCTCTCTCTCTCTCTCGCTTCTTGCTCTGGCTCTGGTTCACATAGTACTTCAATAAGATTACTAATTTAAGGTTTTACATCTCAGAAAAAAGTCAGGTTGGTACTCCCAAAATTGGATTTTTCTTCAGCTGAACAATTCTATTCCATCTTAACTTCCTTGAGTTTTCTTACTTTAATATGATCCCCTCGAATTATAGATATGCGTCAGATCGTATCTCTCTCTTGATCCTGTCGGAAAATTATTTGATTTGGAGTGTCACCGGAACCGGAAAGGTATGAAATTTGCTGCTCTGTTGAGTTCTTAGTCTCTGTTTTTTATGAGAGTAGCTCTTTAGTTGATTTTGTTTGCTGAAGCTTACGAACTATTCAATTAACTAAGGGATCTAGTCGATCTGAGTTACAAAACTACGTTAGGCAATTTAAGTGTAAATTGTGCAGATCATATAAGGTGTGAAGAAGAATCACACAAGAGAAAAGAAATGTACAAGCATCCTAGACAAGAGGTTGAGGCTTACTCTTTGTCTCCTTTTGAGCAAAACTCTGTTGGGAAGCTTATGTACTTACCGATTCACAACTCTCGTAAACGGTATTGCACTCGCGAGCCACCATCTCCTGATTCTCCTGCTTACAATCTTCAGTCATCCGCTACGGTTTTGTGTTCACATAACAACTCTGCCTACGAGGACACCTCTGGCTCTTGCGTGACGGACGATTTGAACGACGACTTTAAACACAAGATAATGGAGCTCGAGACAGTGATGATGGGTCCTGACTCCTTGGACCTGGTCGTCGTAGATGGCACTGACTCTTTCGATTCCACGTCGTGTCAAGAGATTAACAGCTGGAGATCAACTCTAGAGGCACTCTCGAGAAGTGATCTAAGAGCTGATCTTGTTTCGTGTGCACAAGCCATGTCTGAAAACGACCACATGATGGCACAGTCGATGATGGAGAAGCTGCGACAGATGGTCTCTGTTTCTGGTGAACCTATCCAACGGTTGGGAGCTTACTTACTAGAAGGACTCGTGGCTCAGCTAGCTTCATCGGGTAGTTCCATATACAAAGCACTTAATAAGTGCCCTGAACCAGCAAGCACAGAGCTTCTCTCCTACATGCACATTCTCTATGAGGTGTGCCCTTACTTCAAGTTCGGTTACATGTCAGCGAACGGTGCCATCGCTGAAGCCATGAAGGAAGAGAACAGAGTTCACATTGTCGATTTCCAAATCGGTCAAGGGAGTCAATGGGTCACTCTTATCCAGGCTTTTGCTGCTAGGCCCGGTGGGCCTCCTCGGATACGGATTACGGGTATCGACGATATGACCTCAGCGTATGCTCGTGGAGGTGGCTTAACCATTGTTGGAAACAGACTCGCCAAGCTTGCTAAGAAGTTCAACGTTCCGTTTGAGTTCAACGCGGTGTCAGTGTCGGTGTCCGAGGTTAAACCTAAAAACCTCGGAGTCCGACCAGGGGAAGCTCTTGCCGTCAACTTTGCCTTTGTGCTTCATCACATGCCAGACGAAAGCGTGTGCCCCGAGAATCACCGGTACATATCGAAATTTGTTTAAAAAACAATAAGATGATTCTTGTGTGTGTTTCCCCTTGATCACTGAGTATATATTCGCAGGGACCGGTTACTGCGAATGGTGAAGAGCTTGTCTCCCAAAGTGGTGACTCTAGTGGAGCAAGAATCGAACACAAACACGGCCGCCTTCTTCCCGAGGTTCAAGGAGACGATGAACTACTATGCCGCGATGTTCGAGTCCATTGATGTGACTCTACCGAGGAATCACAAACAGAGGATTAACGTGGAGCAGCATTGTCTAGCGAGAGATGTTGTGAACATCATCGCATGTGAAGGAGCTGATCGGGTGGAGAGGCACGAGCTTCTAGGGAAATGGAGGTCACGGTTTGGGATGGCCGGTTTTGTTCCTTACCCGCTGAGTCCACTGGTGAACTCAACCATTAAAAGTCTGCTCAGGAACTATTCGGACAAGTATAGGCTGGAAGAAAGAGACGGAGCCTTGTATCTTGGTTGGATGCAACGAGATTTGGTCGCCGCGTGTGCTTGGAAATGATACGGAGAACAAACATTCTGTACTGTTTGTTATCTCAAACTAAAGTGTTTTCTACTTGTAGTCGCTCATTTGAATCTTCAAAACATTTGAAGTATACTATTATGCAGCAAATGCCCAAAAATCGATTTCAAATCTTTCCTCAATCAAACTTATTAATAGGTATAATTTAAAAGGGTGGATCAAAGACATTATTCTCATACTAGTTATAGTGTGGCAGATCACTAACAACTTATATACTGTAACGACTATAACATTTAATTTGCAAATTACATACCTATTTTTACTAGTTGCCTTCTAACGTAAGCATTAAAAAAGGCCTTACAGGTACTCCAAAAATCCCACAATCCCCATATTTAGACCTTAGTATTATGACCAGAGAAAAGATCTTCGTTTTCTAAAAATAAAATATATTTTTTCGGAAAAGAAATTGGTATTAGTCAAACAGATTCTAAATTGGCAAAAATATCGGTGAGAAAAAATTGAAAGGAACGGTGGAGAAGAAAGTGAACGTTTAAAATCTCTCTCCCCCTAGAAGCTATATAATGGCAGCCAAGCCAAGGAACAAAACATAAATAAGAAATATAACTTAATAATCTAGTGACTTTCTAAAAAAAAAAAAAAAATCACTAGGACATAAAATAAAAACCCAATTATGGGTGTAGTACATATTGGAGTATCCACATTTTTTGTTTTTTGTTTGTTGGGTTTATCAGCAAATGCTAAGGAATTCAAAATCACGTCTTCTCCAGGGTCTGATATCACAAACGTAAGTTCCAAACCATCTTTGCATTGATCGACGTTGATTTCTTGTTCTCCAAACAAGTGCTAATTTTTTTTTTTTTGGGCGATGCAGGTATTGTTGAAAACATTCAATGAGGCATGCCAGTTCCCAACGAAGAGCACCGTTTTGATCCCAAAAGGTGAATACAAGCTTGGGGAAATTGAGATGCTGGGCCCATGCAAAGCTCCGATACATATTGCTCTGCATGGTACAGTGAAAGCTGACGGAAACGTTCACGGGAAGGACAAATGGGTCGCTTTCCGCAACATTAATGGGTTTAAGTTGAACGGAGGTGGTGTCTTCGACGGTGAAGGTAACGCCGCATGGAGAGTCAACAACTGCCACAAGACATTCCAATGCAAGAAACTCCCCATCGTACGTATCTCATCCTTATACATATAACAACAACTCCCGCAATATTAGTTCTTTTTGTTGATGTTTTTTTGTGTCATTTGTTGAACAGAGCATACGGTTTGACTACGTGACCGACGCAAAGATCAGAGGCATAACCTCGTTAGATGCAAAGAACTTCCACATTAACGTGATCGGGGGAAGGAACATGACATTCGAAGAGGTGAGGATCATAGCCCCTGACGAGAGCCCCAACACCGACGGAATCCACTTGGGAAGAAGTCAGGGAATCAAGATCATCAACTCGGTCATCACCACGGGAGATGACTGTATCTCTGTTGGAGACGGGACGAAAGACCTTCTCGTGGAGAAAGTTACATGCGGTCCGGGACACGGAATCAGTATCGGAAGTCTCGGATATTACGGGCACGAGCAAGACGTCACTGGCATCAAGGTCTTGAACTGCACCCTCCAACACACTGACAATGGTGTAAGGATCAAGACATGGCCATCCTCAAAATGCGCCACCACCGCCTCCGGCATCCATTTCGAGAACATTATCATCAAGAACGTCAGCAACCCCGTCCTCATCGACCAAGAGTACTGCCCATGGAACCAATGCAACAAGCAGGTGCGTCCAAAACTAAAAAGCAATCATTTTCAACAAAAAGCAAATGATCATCGATCGTTTTCTTAACCATTGTTTTAAAAATTTGTAGAAACCATCATCTATCAAGCTTGTGGACATAAGCTTCAAGAACATCAGAGGAACGTCAAGGAACAAAGACGCGGTGAAGCTTTTGTGCAGCAAGGGATATCCGTGTAAGAACGTGGAGGTCGGTGACATTAACATTAAGTACACCGGAGCCGACGGTCCTGCGACCTTCCAGTGCGCCAACGTATCTCCGAAGCTGTCGGGAACTCAGGTTCCCAAAGCTTGTAGCAGCCCAGTGACGAAGCCTCCAGGCCAGAACTAGATGCTCCGAGTGTATATAATATAAACTCGAAAATGTACACCCTAGTGTATGTTTATATTCTTTCATTTGATGAAAAAACCTATTTTCCCCCCTAGGCCATGTTGGCCCCCTAAAGAACTGCATTTTTGCTAGCTACACATTGTAAGAAATGCATCATTCTTGAAAAAAATTTAATATAAAATTTAATACCATGATGACTAACTAAATAATTCCTTTACTGTATTCAAGATGAGAAGAACAAAGTTATGATTGGTCTGGTACGGACTTAAGTTTGGTTTTTGTACCTTTTTGTTTACAACCAAATTATAGATGTAAGAAATCAAACACATGATATATACAGTATACTTATGTTAAAAACATAAGAAATAAAAATAATTGTTCCATAAGATTGTTTAGTTTGTGTTCGCATGAGTCATACAAGCAGCTTGGGAACAAAGAATTTGCAAAGTTATAAAACTTATTCTCGAAAAATCCCAACACATTGAGCAAGTCCTCAACAGCTCAATCATCAAAACGAAGAAAAAAAAGCTAAATAGAGAAAAGAAACATCCTCTATTACAATCTGCCTCAAACACAAAGATATAACCGAAAAAGAAATGATTTTTTTTTCCGGAGGAGATAACAAAATACACTTCTTTTGAATCTATCCCGCAAACCCTATATTCTCTCTCTAATCGAACCAAAGTAACAAGGAAAAGAAAAAAACCTAAAATTCTAGAGAGAAGCAAACCATGAGAGCCAAAATTCGCAGGATCTTCCACTTAGCTAGCTCAAGGTGATGAAGAGGTTTCATCCCATGCATACGTTGTTATATAAGATTCGTCAAGAGCTACCATTCTTCAACTTGTCTCAATCTAAAATTTCATGGTAAGCCAAAACCATTGTACTAAGTAGAAATTCCTGCAACATATAAATGAAAACTGTAAATAAGACTACTATACATGTATATAGATATACTCATAAACTCGACTTACCACAGTATGATTGTCTCCTGTTAACACTGTAATCACCAACATAGCCTGGAGTTGAACTTTTAGCTGAAACAGAGGAAAGACCTCCAATCCCATAGCCAAAGGAGTTAAGACCTCCTTTCTCGGATGACGACACTCTATAAGTAGGATCACTATAAACCGCACCATTCTCATGTAACCCTACAAGACCTACATCATAGCCAGTGTTTGTTCCCACCGAGGTAGAAGAAGGTGGTGCTATTCTTGTATATCCTGCTGTTCCAAACCCAAAGCTAGATTCACCATTATTTCCTCCATACCCAAACCTGTCAAAACTAACATTGTTCCTTCCACTTTGTGCGTTGCTTCCGGGACCCCAACTTCCTCCGGAACTTGCAAATGGACGGCTTATTACTGTGTTCCCACCTGTTGATCCCACATATGTATTGGAACCTGAGTTTGGAGCGTTGCTATAGGTAAGGTCTCTGTTTTCCCAAAGGTTCCGTGTGACAGAACTGAAGAAAGACGAGTTCCCTCCATTGCCTTCTTCATAGCCATACCTGTCCGTGTTACCAATGTAGTACGGGCTCAATCCACGGGCATATGAAACGTTTTCAGCCCCGGTAAAGCTATTTGGCGCTCCCTGCTCAAAGCTCACATTCATCCTGTAGCCAGAAACAAAAGGATCATACCCGCTTCGTTCAGGAGCAACAACTGGACTGAACCGACCATCCATCCCAAGTCCTGCTCCTACCCCAGTGATATTGTATCCATTAAGGAGGTTATTGACCCTATTAGCTCCATAGCCGTAACCTCCTCCTGATGGGCTGCTACGCGATGGACTTGGCGATAGCTCCTTAGGGACAGCTCGCTTGACCTCAACCATTTTACCGTGAAGCTCATGAAATGTCTTGAGCAATACTTTTTCCACCGCCTCCTCAGAATCATAAGTTACAAATCCAAAGCCTCTAGGCCTCTGTGTGTTATGGTCATACATAACAACAACATCTGTAGTTGTACCAAACTCCTCAAAGTACATTTTAAATTCGCTTTCTGTTATCGACGAAGGTAATCCACCAACAAAAATCTTCTTCGTGCGGCCTGAAACCGGAGAACCTTGAATGCTGTTACTCTTGCTGCTCTTATTTATTGTGTTCTGGTCATCTCTAGGAACAGCTTTCTTTGCTTCAACCTGGCAAGATCAGTGAAAAACCAGAGCTTAATTAGCAAAACTAGTCCTTTCTCCAAAGTTCAATTCAAAGTGTAACCAGAGAGATGCTTAATATGGGAATACTATCCAATTATGTCAAACTCAGTTGGATTCAAAGAAACTTAAGAAACAAGTTACATTGTACTACAAATGAAAGCCGGAAGCTTTATGATCAAAAAGGACTTACAAATCTCCCATCAATATTATGCTTCTCCTTGACAACTATCTCGGCAACAGCCGGATCAGCAAACACCACAAACCCGAAACCACGGGCACGGCCTGTGTTACGATCCTTCATGATCACTGCCTCGACCACTTCTCCGAAGCTGCTGAAATACTCCTTGAGAAGCTCCTCATTGGTTTCCCACGATATCCCGCCGATGAAAAGCTTACCCTTGTCAGATTCCATTTTTTTGCTCTGTGCACTACAGTACTACTGTTTAACAATTGGCAAAATCGAAGATTTAGCAGATCAAATCTACTCACTCACACAAGTTCTAATTTTTTTTTCAAAAGGTAAAAGGCGAATCAACTACTAGTACAGAGGATGGGATCAAAGGACATCATTACCTTAAGAAATCGATAATCAACCAGGAAAAAGTAGAAAATTTTGAATCTGGCAACGAGGGAGAAACCTCTGGGATTCAAATTCAATCCAGGAGCAAGAGATCCTTCATCAATCGGTACTCAAACCCGAAGCTAAAGCTAATCTCCCGGAGAATCGAGTGGGAGCAGAAGCAAAAAGGAAACACCTTTCAGTCCCGAAATTCAATCAGCATTAACCGAAAACCCCAGATCAGAGAATCAAATATCCAATTCCCACCGTTCAGATTGAAACCCAGATGGTAAATCTTGTCGATGAATCACTAAGATCTGAAGAGACCAATCAATTCAGTTGTTGTGGTGCCCCTTCTTAAGAAAGACAGAACTGAACACAGAAGTGAAGTTTGAAGCAATCTGAATCAGTCAGCTTAAGCTGATTTAGTATTGAGAAAAACGCAGAGACGCGCTCTAGATAGAGAGATAGAAAGAAGAAAGCTTCTGGTTTGGTGCAAGGAGAGATACACACGCCTATATATATACCTAATCTAGTAATACTGTGGGACTTTAGTATTTACAATGGAAGCGATGTGCGCAAGTGGGAAATGGAGCAAAACTCTTCTTACGTACGTGTAAGAAGATTTTTTAAAAAAATTCAGCTAAAACTACGGAAAATAGATTTTGTCATGACTTTTTGTAACTGTCAAATGAAAATTAAAGTTGTTGCACGACTATAAAATTGGGAAATTTGTAAAATCTATAAAATGAAAAAAAAACTACGTACTATCCCATAAATAATTTACTAACATTAAACATTGTTTCTTTGTACATATATTTTTAAAAGTCAAAACATTGACTTTCACTTCCAAATCCATAGTTTTTTTTACGTTAACTATCCCATAAATAATTTATTTAACTTAAACATGTTTCTTTGTACATATATTTTTTAAATTTAAACATTGCTTTTCACTTACAACTCCATTATTTTATATACTTAGTAAAATATTTACGGCATCGTTTTCACAAACTTTAATTCCACCATTCCGTAAATTTAATTTATTTTCAATTAATAATTTTTTCTTATTTCATTTAGAAAATTAGCGTGTACAATATAGTCAATATATATAATTATATTATATATATATATATATTCTTCTGCTTCGAGGGAATAAGAGGCTCCCTCTTTTCTCCGCAGCTCCGTCTACTGTACTGCCGTCATCGCCGCCGCGACGTGGTTCCGATTTTCTCTTTCAAAGTGATTTTGCCACACTTGTCTTAGCTCGTATCAAATTCCCCAAGTGTTTGTATCTGCTTCCTCCTCCAGGCCTTGAATTTGTAAAGATGGCAGCACCTACTCAGCTCACTCAGCATCTCGAAACTTTTGTCGACATTACTCGTTCTCCTACTCAGCAGGTTCTCTTTCTCTTCTCCCATCCTTTCTACAATTCTGTTTTCCGCCTAATGTTCTTTGCAGATTGGTGGAAAATTGATTTGACTTTATACCAATTCTGATTTGTTTTCCCTTTTTAAATCCTGAAACTTTTTAGGCTGATAGTCTGAAAGCGATTGCTTCTTCCTTGGAGAAGGATTCGTTGTCTATGAACGAATTGGTAACATATACAATCAATCACTTTCATCTTTCCGTAGTCGACATTTATGCTGTTGATTTACTGTAATTCTGTAAAGTGCAGGTCGTGGAGATGGACATGTATTTGACGACAACTGATAATGTTGTCCGAGCACGAGGTACTTCTTGGATTATATTAGTTGAGCATATTTTTTCTCTTAATCTGAATTGGAATATGTGAAGACATGAATTGTCATTGTAGGTATTCTCCTGCTTGCGGAGATCCTTGATTATCTAAAAGCAAAGCCTTTGGACAATGCAATTGTCCATAGTCTCATTGGATTCTTTACCGTCAAGCTGGTGATTTGATACTTCTTTGTCTTTTGCTATTTGTGTAATTCATGCCAATGTGTGTTACAGTTTCTGTTCAATTTCTTGGAAATTTAGAAGAAAAAAAAAACGATTTTGGACTTGTTTTCAGGCAGACTGGAGAACAATACGTGGGGCACTTGTTGGTTGCTTGGCCCTGATTAAGAGGACAGACGTAGCTGGTGTTGTCACTGCTATAGATGCAGAAGCTTTGGCGAGGTCAATGATACGGAATGTGCAAGTGCAGTCTTTAGCACTCCATGAGCGCAAGGTATGAAACTATTGCTTAGTAGTATTCTGTTTATCTGAATGAATGTGTTTTCTTGAGTTGTTACATTATGACTTTGCAGCTCTCTTTTGAAATTTGGGAGTTACTTCTACAGCAATACTCTGAAGCTATTATGAGTATGGTATGTCAGTGCTCTCTACTCGCGGATACATAGTTTCAGAATTGAAAGTTCAATCTGGTGTATGAGTAATGTTTTCTTGCAAATCATTTTCTCTTAATCCTACTGACTAAACGACCATTTTTCTAGGGAGATCTAATTGTTTATGCTGCGTGCGAAGCAATTGATGGAGAAAAAGACCCTCAATGCCTATTGGTAGCTTTTCATATAGTAGAGCTTTTGGCTGAATTGTTTCCCAGTCCATCCGGTCCAGTTGCTTCTGGCGCATCTGATCTTTTTGATATTTTTGGTTGCTACTTCCCACTTCATTTTACACATGTGAGTTTAAAGCCTATCCTTTTTCTATGATGTGATCTATTGATGGATTTATCTTTCTTCCGTTTAACTGTTTCGTGTTCTCTTTTTGGGTTCTAGACAAAAGGTGATGAAGCTAACATTACAAGAGAAGACCTCTCAAGGGGACTATTGGTGAGTATTTTTCCAGTATTTACAATTTGCATAAGTTCTTGCTGCCTTATAGTCACTTGCAGTTTAAAGTATGGATGAAAAGGTATTAGGTTATAGATGAGGGGAATCATGATGAATTCTATTTATACAAATGTACAACATAGATTGATTTCTTCATTCGATTTTGCAGCGGGCATTCTCTTCTACGCCTTTTTTTGAACCGTATGCTATTCCATTGCTTCTTGAAAAGCTTTCTTCTTCTCTACCAGTTGCAAAGGTTTGTTTATCGTGTAACTTTCTATTCTGATTCATCTAGCTTATATGCCGCTCTGGATGTTGGACAAGTGTAGTTATTTTTGTTCCACTAAAATCTGTCTAGGTTGATTCTTTGAAATGTCTGAAAGATTGCGCGACGAAATATGGAGTAGTAAGAATGAAGAAGCACTATGGAGGTCTTTGGTCCGCTTTAAAAGATGCATTATATTCTTCCACTGGGACAGATTTTTCCTTTGCTCCAGAATCACTCACTAGTCCAGGGTTTAATATGAATGAGATCCACAGGGAAGCTGTTAATCTTCTTCAGAGGCTTGTGAAGCAAGATATCTCGTTTTTAGGTCTTGTTGTTGATGATATAAGTATGCAGACGGTCTTTGATGCCATATCTGGATACCCTCAGTACAAAGAAATGCCTGACACGAGCAAACTGGATGTTCTTGTCATCAGTCAGATACTATCTGTGTCTGCCAAAGCTTCGGTTGAGTCGTGCAATATAATCTTTCAAACATTTTTCGTCCGCCTTATGAATACTCTAGGGATTGTAGAGAAAAATGCAGCTGGCGATCTAGTTCACAACGAAAACTCCACAGTCTCTACCAGACTCTACCATGGAGGTCTTCATCTTTGCATCGAACTTCTTACAGCGTCGAAAGATCTTATCCAGGGTTCCGAGGACTGTTCTTCAACACCTGGATGCGCACAGGAATCTTGGTGCTCTATGGTTAACAGGTTCTCAGTTTCATTGATCCGGGTGTTCACTTCTGCAGTACACAGCTCTAATGACGATTGTGGTGCAGATGTATATCTTGGAGGTGAATGCATGTGCTTACTTAACAGATTTGTTACATTTTTTTTTTGTCTTAGCTTGACTCTAATGTAATACTGAACTCGTGCTACATATATTTTTCTAGGTTTCCTTGTTCTAGTTCCTATTCTCTAATTTTTTTTTCCTTGATCAATATCCAGTTAAAGGTTTGCTGACTATGGGTATGTTCTGGGGAGGCTCTTCTCCTGTATCGAGATCCGAATTCGAGAAGATTTTGACGACCTTAACATCAATCATCACAGCCAAGAGTTGCAAAACAGTAGTGTGGGAACTGGCATTGAAAGCGCTGGTCTGCATTGGCTCATTTATTGATCAGTATCATGAGAGTGACAAAGCTTTGAGCTACATGGGTATAGTTGTCGAAAATTTGATCTCATTGGCCTGCTCTAGTCATTGTAGTCTTCCATATTTGATGATATTAGAAGCAGCTTCGGAAGTTTGCTCCAGTGGGCCAAAGTATGTGGAGAAAATGGTTCAAGGATTTGAAGAATCTTTCCGTACCAGTTTATCTGATTTCTGTGTATGTCTTTCCCCCATGACTCTAAATCGTTAAGTTTTCATTATATTTGAGCTTGTTTCTATCTTCTTCTCTATCTTAAGATCTTGTTATTGTCGCCAACTGGTTTCCGTCTCCAACAAGCAAGGAGTCGAGAGCTTCCTTTTATCTAACTACTATTTGGATACACTTGTCAGGTCAATGGAAACTTCAAGTCAATTGAAAATTGTTCTCAGCTCCTGGAGTGTTTGACCAATAAATTGCTTCCACGGTACCCAAAACTTTTCTTGAATTTCTTATATCTTGTAAACTAGCTATTTTAGCGTGTGTATTTAGACTCTTAGTTGTTTATGAAGAGCCAACTATCTTGGATAATACAACTTGTCGATTGCCTTGCCTAGTTTCCATGTGAATCTATACTGTATTCCTGTAGAGTATCTAGGTTCTCTTGGTTAGGGTTCAATGTGTGTTATCCCCCCATTGTCAACCCGTCCTAACTCTATAGCATCCGTTAAGTCTTTTATGGTTCAGAAGATGAAAAATTTGAAACGTTCGTGGTGCTTGCATGTGTACGGCATCACTGTTTTTCATCTGATTCGAGAATTCTATTTCTCTATACTTCTGCCATAACCAACATTTTTTCGTTTCCCCTTTGCATGTTAATTTGATCAGTTCTTTTGACTCATGGTGTTTTTTTCTTCTCTCAAATAGTGTGGCAGAGATCGATGGTCTCGAGAAAATCTTGGTGCATTTCGCTATCAGTATGTGGAATCAAATTGAATCCTCTGGAGTTTTCAGTTATGATTTTAATGGTAGGGTAAGTACTCAGATGAACTTTATACACATTGTTTCTCTTCGAAGTAGATTTGATTCATCTATTGTTCACGTTATGAATATATTGCTCTTATGCTACAGGAGTTTGTTGAGGCTGCAATGAAAACAATGGGGCAAATTGTAGGAATTTCTATGGTAGATTCACAGAACAATATAATCCAAAAGGCTTATAATGTGCTCTTATCAAGCACGCTTCCAGCTATGGAGTCTGTTCCTTTGACCCTTACTGCATTAGAGGGTCTAGAACGTGACCTGTCCACTAGGGATGAACTGATACTTTCACTATTTGCATCAGTCATCATAGCTGCATCTCCCGTGGCATCCATTCCAGATGTGAAATCACTTATACATCTATTTTTAGTATCCCTTCTTAAAGGTTATATCCCAGCTGCTCAAGCTTTGGGTTCAATGGTGAACAAATTGGGCGCAGGTTCTAGTGGAACAAATATCTCAAGCGATTGTTCCTTGGAAGAAGCATGTGATATAATATTTCACGATATTTCTTCTGATGATGAATCTGGTAAAGTTTTCTGTGGAAAAGAGACAATCTTGTCAAAGATCTGTTTAGGTTTCTATGGTTCCCTGGACCTTCAAACCCGCGCTATAGCAGGACTATCATGGATTGGGAAAGGTTTACTCATGCGGGGTGATGGAAGAGTTAATGAAATAGCTCTGGTACTAATGGAATGCTTAAAATCCCCCAACTGCTCTGGGCATGCTCTGCATCCTTCTGCCATGAAACATGCAGCAGATGCATTCTTCATACTAATGTCTGATTCGGGAGTGTGTCTGAACAAAAAATTTCATGCAGTTATACGGCCACTTTATAAGCAACGGTTTTTCTCTATAACAGTTCCCATTTTGGAGTCTTTGATTGTGAATAATCAGACACCACTCTCGAGGTAGGCATATTTTTAACTCTATTTTATATATACTTACTTCTATGCTGTAGGTTTGAATTATGTAGTCATAGTTTGGTTCGGAAGATACAGTTAGATCTGATTGCTTCTACTCTTTCAAAGATTTTTTTTTTGCTCATTAGCTTCGATGCTCTTGTGCTGTGCTCTGTCTCTCTTTCTTCGCCATGCAGTCTTTCTATGCCCTAGAAAGGGTGCAACTGCACCACAATAACTAGCACGTAAACTCGTAATAGTTTAGGCTTCTTTGTTGTTGCTCCAAGTTTCGAGTACACATCATAAATAGTCAAGTTTCTGTTTATTGTGACAACCATTTCCAAATTCTCAGCTGACTAGTTTTTTCATGGTTCCAGAACAATGTTGTATCTCGCTCTCGCACATGTTATATCCAATGTGCCAGTAACGGTCATATTGGACAACACCAAAAAGGTGAGCGTCAAGATAGACTTTGTATTTTTGGTACCTTTATAAACAGTTTCTTAGAAGACTTTTGTCTCTGCAGCTACAACCGATGATACTGGAAGGCTTGTCTGTCTTAAGCATTGACCCTGTGGATAAAGAAACTCTTTTCAGTCTATTACTGGTTTTATCAGGAACGCTTACTGATAGTAAAGGTAAAAAAAGTTAAGTTGCTGGAATGCGAAAGCTATTGCATATATAAACTCTAGCTTCAATTATTTGCGCCGACACTTAAAAATCATTTCTGGGTTGTGATCAGATGGTTGAGTGAATTTAATGGCTGTTAAATCTCAAGAAGGCATATCATATTCATTTTTTCCCGATATATATCATTTTATTTATTGCCTACTAAACCTTTTACTCTGTCGACAGGACAAGAATCTGCCAGTGATAATGCATATATAATCATCGAATGCCTGGTCAAGCTTACATCATATCCGCATCTAATGGTAACAAATCATTTTCTCTGCAGTAGCATCTTGTATATCTTCTTTTTCCAATGGAATTGATTCTTGAACCGTCGAATGTGTTTTTTTTCCATGTTAAAATGGTATGCAGGTAGTTAGGGAGACAGCGATTCAGTGTCTTGTTGCCCTGTTGGAATTGCCTCATGGAAGGATCTACCGCTTTAGAAGACAGGTTAGTTAAAAAGATCTATGACACAGGATTTTGTATGTAGAGTAAGAAAATGAGTCTCATGGATTTGAAATTCCACTTAAGGTTTTACAAGCAATAGTAAAGGCACTCGATGATCCAAAACGGAGAGTTCGGGAAGAAGCGATCAAATGCAAGCAGGCTTGGTAAGTCGCTTTAAATTGATCCAATTGTCTTATTGTGTCTTTTTAGTTACTTTCGTATGAATAAATGATTATGATCATTGTCAAAAGCAGGGCGTCAATCACATCCACAGGTTTCTGAAGTTGAAATTCAGAGATTGATGAAGCCAAGTTGTCTTTCTTGAAGCAGTGTAGTATCTTTACTATATACATCTTTTAGATTTAGTTTCCTTACGGCACTGACCCATCTATAAACGTATGAGACTTTGTTATTCTTTTATATAAAAGAACACAAAGTTTGTGACATCTAATTCGAACATAGTTTTCTCAAACGAAGATAAAGAAAAATAATAGGCTTATTTAGGGAAACTTTATTTTGCAAAAGTTGTATACATCTAGTTCCAAGAATATTCCCACATATTTTTGTTGTTGTTGATATGTTTGCCTATCTTAGCTATGTGCAAAACTTTGGACTGGATAGTTTTGGGCCATTGGTATCTCTCTATCTTGGGTAGTTTAGGATCTATTCTTAGGTGCTTTCACTATTGTAAAAATCAATACAAAAGACAATTTAAACTATGACGTTGTAAATATAGATAATGCAGAACTGAAACCACCTATTCATTTATAGATTACAAGTGAATAAATAGAGATACACTTTGAAAGTAGAAAAATGAGAGTGCCTTGAAGTGTATTGTTCCATTTGATTTGTTTCATTTAATTTGCATAGTTTTATTTTTACATCACAAACATGTACAATGCGAGAAGGCAAGTTGACACGGTGTAGCTTAAGATAAGATGAAATATTAGTATTTAAGTTCTAGTCTTCTAGATAGTCAAAACTCAAAAATAGAAATTACGTGGAAAAAACTAATCGACAAAGATTCAAATTGGGTTGATGTTTATGTTTGGAGTTCTTGTCATAAAAGATTTCCCAACTATAGAAGAAAAGTCTCTTACAAGTCATAGCGTATTCAATTTTATCGTAATTGAACTAGAGATCGACATTTCACCAGTCACGAATTTAGAATTTTCAGATTTAAAGTACATATACATTAACATTAACTTGGACACATATATATTCCAAAATAATTTAAAAACATTCTTTCAGTATAAGGTGTGTTAACAATAACTAAATATCTCTTGTGTAAGAAAAGCTTTGGTGGAATGGTAGCTAACGGATATCGAATAGGTTAATAACTCCTTTTCGTTGAATATAGTGCCACAATATAAATTAAACACACTCAGCCAATTCAAAATAATTATAATCTAAACAAACATCAAAGCATGCACGTAAGAAACTAAATCAACACATAAGGTAACGAGGCTCGGAATAGTTGGGTTTCGGATTTTTATTTTTAAAAAGAAAGCATCACCTAACCAAAACTCATAAGGGCATCTCCATATTAAAAAATACAAATTAATAGAATGGAAAAAGAAAGATAGAGACGTATCTCGTTTGAACTTTGAAATATGTTTAGCAACGTATCTAATTAAGTGTCATATTCTGATTAGTTTATATTATTTTTAGATACTCTATTTAAGATATGCACCGTTAAAGGTGTTCTAAAGCATCTTCATTTACTCTGATAGTATATCCAAAACTTATTATAATAATATAATTTATTTGTGTAATAAAATATTAAATTATTAAAAGTGTGATGCATATATTAAAAATGACAGATATTGAGAAACATATCTCATGTCATGCTCTTTTCTTTGAAAAACAGTTCGTAATTTCTCTCATTCTCTCTCTTTCTTTCTAATTAATTTTTTTATTATCCAGATATTCTCTGAAATACCGTTGTTGCAAATACTTTTAGAACACCTTTAACAGTGTATAATCTCAAATAGAATATCTAAGATTTTTTTTTATTAATATAAAAAAATTAAACTAACTAATACTTGACACTTGGTCAGATACATTTCTAGATAGGATTCTCTATCTCTCTCCATCCTTTCCATTATTTTGTACATTTTAATTATTATAAATTGGTCATATATGACTTTCAGATATTATTCTCGAATTTTCCATCACTTACCAACATTTGTTAAAATAATTTTCCGTTTAAAATAGTTTAATAGTATATATTAACAGGTTACAGGTATGAAAATGACTTTAGTATGAGATAGGGAGTCGAGAGTTTTTAAAATATTCGAATACTTTAGACTTCTCAAATTACCCATTTAAAAATATTCAATAACTTAGACTTCTCGCATTACCCAAAATACCAAATTTGTCTGAAACCAAGCTATATCTGAATTCTTTTGTCCTGTATTTTAATTACTATACTTCGAACAGTATATTCAGATATCTGAACAATTCGTTCTCACCTCTTACCTTCTATTACTGGTTTCAATACTCGAAATAAATGCTATTGCTAAAAAGTCTGTTTGTTACTTTTACACTATAAATTTAGAATGTTATTTCCCTTAAGTTGAAAGTTACGTTTGACCGAGAGATGTCAAGTATTTTCAAGAGTATTACGATTCTTTTCAGACATAGATATTCTAATTAACTTTTAAAGCTTACGATACGAAGACAGGATTTGTGTATGAACATCGATGGCATAACAACATATCTTGAATCTTGTCCACCAGAGTTATCTGGGGGGCAGTTTTGAAAATATAAAAGATCTGTAAGGTTAATAAAAAAAACATTATCTTGTAATTCCGTAGTTCTTATATCGAAACTGTTACTAATTTGAGAAAGACGTGGAGAGCTAGAGGCGTCTATAAATATATATTCCTCTCTCAGAAATCATAATATACCTAATTTATTAAAAAAGTCTCTCAAAATGTCACAATATTCCTTCTTCTATTTCTTCCTAATCTCTCTTTTCCTCTACGAAAATTGCATTGCGTATCGCTACACATTCACGGTGAGTTCAAAATTAATTAATCAATTTAGTCAGGCGTGAGTAAACTAACTTAAAACTGATGGTATATAGGTTATTGAAGCTCCATATAGCAAACTGTGTAGCACGAAGAAGATTTTGACCGTTAATGGTCAGTTTCCTGGACCAGTGTTAAGGGCTTACAAAGGTGACACCATTTACGTTAACGTTCGTAACCAAGCTAGTGAAAATATCACATTGCATTGGTATTTCATCCAAAACCCTTTTTTTCGTCTTCTTAATTATGTAACCATTTTAAATACAAGAACATAAACGAAATTTCGATGGTTGAATAAAAACAGGCATGGTGTAGAGCAGCCGAGAAACCCGTGGTCAGATGGACCCGAATACATCACACAATGCCCGATTCAACCCGGGTCAGATTTTACGTACAAAATTTTACTTTCCATCGAAGACGCGACTGTTTGGTGGCATGCGCATAGCTCGTGGACACGTGCCACCGTACACGGTCTGATTTTCGTGTATCCTCGGCCTCCTGATACCCTGCCTTTTCCAGAACCGGACTACGAAGTCCCCTTAGTTTTTGGTACAAACCAGGACATATAACAAAAGATCAGTGAAGTTGCTTTTTTTGTTTTTTTTTTTTTTATCTCTCTTAAATTAAAATTAATTTCATAAAAACTTGACAGGAGAGTGGTGGAAGAGGGATGTGAGAGAAGTAGTGGAGGATTTCATGAGGAACGGAGGTGAACCTAATGTGTCCGATGCTTTGACTATCAATGGGCATCCTGGTTTCTTGTATCCTTGCTCTCAATCAGGTTTCTTTTACTTTTTCCCTTTCTCCTATTAATTTCTTATTTTGTTTTTAATATACAGTTGTGGGATAAAAACTAATTGTGGAGATGAAATAAAATTTAGGGATATTGATCATTGAAACAAATTGTGAAATGATTCAAACGAGCATTTTTTTTTTCAAGTCAACTGTTTTTAATTTGTTTTTCCTCGTTTTTTCAAAAGTTTCTTACTAATTTAGTTAGTTAAACATAATTAATGTTTGATCAAATTGTCCAAAAATTAGTTAAGAACTTACGAGTGGTTGATAAAAAAAAAATCACGAGGCATATTAATTCAAACCAAAATAGTTGTGTTTGTATTTATTAGTTCTTAAAAATTGTGCTCATAAATTTGAAACTAGCATTTGCATGCATATTTATGTTTAAAACCTAGTTAGTAAAGTCCGTTATTGACATGCATACGTTACGTATACGTATGTTTAACAGATACATTCAAGCTCGTGGTAGAGAAGGGCAAAACCTACCGCATTCGGATGGTAAACGCCGCGATGAACCTAATTCTCTTCTTCGCCATCGCGAACCACAAACTCACCGTGGTCGCCGCCGATGGCCACTACACCAAACCTCTAACCGCTAGTTATATCACCATATCTCCTGGCCAAACGCTAGACCTGTTACTATACGCCGACCAAAGTCCAGAGAGCACTTATAACATGGCGGCCAGAGCTTACCATAGCAACCCCAACGTTGGGTTCAACAACTCTACCACCGTCGGGATCTTACGTTACTACTCTTCAAACGACGCCGGAACGTCTTCATCAGAACGTTACCCGTACCTTCCTGGCTACAATGACACCTCAGCAGCTTTCGATTTCTTCACAAAAATCAAAGGCTTATACTCCAGAGTAGCTCCCGCCAAAGTTTCACGTAGGATAATCACGACGGTTTCGATAAATCTCCTCAAGTGTCCCAACGACTCGTGTGCAGGCCCAAACGGGTCGAGGTTAGCGGCGAGTATGAACAACATATCGTTCGTCACACCGAGCCACGTGGACATACTAAGAGCTTATTACCTTCACATTAACGGCGTTTACGGAACGCGGTTTCCGGAGTTCCCACCGCGGATATTCAATTTCACAGCGGACGACCAACCGCTGTTTTTGCAGACTCCGAGGCTGGCGACGGAGGTAAAGAAGTTTCAGTACGGGGAGACGGTTGAGATTGTTATACAAGGGACGAGTTTGGTAGGTGGTGGAATCGATCATCCTATGCATCTCCATGGTTTTAGCTTCTACGTGGTTGGTTTAGGGTTTGGGAATTTTAACGCACGTAAAGATCCCTCCAACTATAATCTAGACGATCCTCCTTACAGAAACACGGCGACTGTGCCCAGGAACGGTTGGATCGCTATCAGATTCGTAGCTGACAATCCAGGTACGTACACTTACATAAACCTCTAACTTTGATTTGGTTCAAATCTCTTTTTAATATTTTGTGTTTTTGTAGGGGTTTGGTTCATGCACTGTCACTTTGATAGACATCAAACGTGGGGTATGAATGTTGTCTTCATTGTTAAGAATGGAATAAAACCAAATCAGAAGATTCTACCTCCACCGCCTGGCTTACCACCTTGTGACCAATTTGAGAATCTATAAATGATTTTATAGCATGTTGCAGTATTGTGTTTGATGTAATAAACTACTGCATATTTACAAAAAAAAATATAATCTTAAATTTTGTTTTTATTTAATTAATTTTCACAAGTTTTTCTATCGTAGCAGTCATAATAAGGAAAGATACTCCCAAGACAAAACAGTGTCTGAAGTCATTATTTTAACCCTGAGCCTTTCTTTCTCATAATATCTTCAAAAGCTATAGATGTGGTGAAGTTTACCTCGCTCACACTGATAAGTCCATGTCTTGTACCATATCATCATAATCTTGAGGGACCTCTGCGTGATGGAAACGCCCTGTGCAAGTGGAGTGATGCATCTGTGTAATGTGACTCTGTTGAAGTGCTATAGCCTTGTGGCTTCTACTCCAGTCTCTTCGGCTCCAAAGGTATAACGGTGGCGGCATATTGTTCCACTGCTCTATCGTTTGATCATTTACATCTATCGATCCAGGCAAGTAGAACGACTACAGAGCAAAAAAACAAAGGAATGTGATTGAAATGTATTGGTTATACTAAACGAGAGTTTGATTCATTAGTGAACGTACTTACCATGCCAGAAAGTAATCTCGTGTCTTCCCAAATCAAGTCATACTCAGCTATCTCGTCGACCCTGTGATTGTAGAGGAAAACAAAGGTTATGAAAAGTTTGTAACTGACACTCTATATTTGCTATTTACCTTTTTGTTTCACTTGGTACGATGAGGATTAGAATCTTGGGTCTAAACTCGAGGGCCTTCCTGATGAAAATGTTAGCAAGACTGGATTTGTAACCGAAAGGCGGGTTTAATCCCATTATCTGTTTTTACTCACGACCAAGTAATATCTCAGTTAGTGAATTCAAAAAGTGTATTTCACCTTTAGGATGTTGGTTGCGTTTTTTACCAGTCGAGAGCCATCGGGTAACTCTTGTTTCTTCACACTCAACCAATCTCTCTTCTCAAAGTTGAAGTTATACTGCCATGGAAACATAGTGTTTCAGAAACATCTTCAAACACAACAATAAAAGAGTAGTGGGTGTTGTACCTTTGGTGCAATGAGATCGAAATTTTTAAAGAAGCAAGATTTTCCCGTTTTCGCAAGCTTTTCTTTCATCAGGCAACTGAAGTCATTAGAACCACAGCAGAAATCGACTACCTGAGACCAAAGATAATGTTATATTTCAACATTTAGCTAATAGAGGAGCCGAGGAGGTATTGGTTAAAGCATCAGCAACTTTACCGTATCACCACTTTGCACATATAAGTGGAGTCTCTCCACTATCTGCATCATTAATATCAAGTAGTTCATCATTAACTTGAAATAGTTCGGTTTCTAATAATCATCTGTAAACCAGTAGACTTTAATGGATCAATCTTAACATAAGTTAATAAAACAAAAGAGATATATAGTTCACCTCTACAAGCTTTGCTTGCTTTGTGAAGTGACGACCAAATGATGTGTAACGCTTACCATGGAAAAAAGGTGAAAGATAAATTTCAAGCTTCCTCTGCAAGTCGAAACATAAATGTTTCATATTGTGTGCAACCTTTTCCCTTAATGGAAACTTTTCACGTTTATATGAGCAAAATCTTAGATGATAAAAAGATTATGCTAACTAAATATAATTTCAAACCTTATGATTCATGAGTTGGAGTAGGATATCTGGATCAAATATAGCTCTTGCATCTTCGCCGCGCCCTTCTTCAAACATCTTTAACGCAGCTCGAGCAGCCTACAGAATTGTCGTTAAGATAAAAGGAGACCACATTGCTAACTATTTAACATAACTTTTTGTTTCACATTAAAAACCGTAGTGACATACATTGACATGAGTCTTAACCAATCCCGTTGTGATGTTCTTGCCGATATCATATCCTGACTGGTAGCATTTTACATTGGTTGTTGCCCCACGAGACCTCATGAACTCATCAAAGTTAAACGATGAGTTCACTTCGTCTCTTATAGACAACACCCTGTGTAACCCCCCAAAATCAAAATGATTAGTGGAAACTATCAATAATTTAATATTTTGTTTGTATCATTGTTGAGTGGCCAAAAGGAATATCACCTCTGTTCCACATCCTCGTCTACTACGTCACGCTCGACAAAGGCGGAATGACCTTCATCTATCGGCAAATTTTTACCAATGCTATCCATCTTCCGTTTCAGGAGATAATCATTGACATTGAAATGCATCTTTGGTTTCCTACACTCATTAATACCAAGACGATCAGGTAGACCCTCGTGAGGCTCAGAATCGGTCACCATACTCGGTACATCCTCTTTGACAGGTGCAAGCTCCTCACTTAGTGTTCTTCTTGGGCCAGATATATCAGGAAAAGTTAAGTGGTCTCTAGCTGGAGTACCAAGATCACCTACTATCTCATGGTTCCTGTTGTTCAAAAGAATATGAAAAAAATACATCATGCAGATCATGACAAGAAAACCTGCTTTCGAATACACTTAAAACCAATTAGAATATTCAAAACTTACAAACAGTACATCAGAATGCGATTGTATGGAAGCAGTTTTTCCCAGGTCCTTTGTGGGTTTTCCTCGTCACCGTTGAGTTCAGAAGTAATCTCCCTGAGTACAAAAACAAAACACAAAAATCTGAAGCTGATATATACGGCCATTAGAAGCTTGAGAAAAAAGTAAAATGAAAATTGGTTTACCATGGTAAACACTTTCTGTGATAAGCCGTTGGGCAGCGTCTGCATACAGCAAAATGAAACGCATATAGATTCTTGTTTTCACTTGTCTTGCATACTTTACATATGTGTAGTGGACAGCAAAATGAATCGTTAGCAGCAATCTTGGCTTGAAGTTCTTCTGATTTGTTGTGATCATCAGCATAAAGAAGTTTTGCAACACATATTGGATGATAGAAATGACCGCAATTTGACGCTGAACAAGGAAAGACCTTCAAAGAAGTAAACAGAGTTGAATCCCAAACTGAAGATTTCAAGTACTCAATACAGAATAGCATAGTATCCACATGAAGAATGATATGTTGCAAGATATAATACCTCTTGAGAGGAACTTTCATCAGAGGATCCCAATTGGCCACAAGCAAAGCACTGGTGCTGTTTGTGGAGAAAGTTGCTACACAAATACGTGCCTAGTGCCTACATATGTAACAAATTAACTTCAGCATGAAGCCACACAATAATAGCATATAAAGCATAGAATCTAAAGAACATTTTCACAGTACATGAACTTGAGTCCCATCAGTGAATCCTAACGATTCGCATGATGAGTCTATTCCATCCTCTATGGTCGCATGGAAAGCTCTCAAGCAGCTTCCTTCACAGCTGAAATCAAAACAAGGAGATTAGATGAAATCATTGCAGCTTGTAAGGAGCTCCAAAAATAGCACTAATTCAGAAATTATGAAGCTTGACATACCACAGAATGTAACCACCATTGTCACAAATAGAACAGACTGTATCAAACTGCAGGTTCATCTCATAATCATCATCACTGCTGTTTTCCTCGTCCGTCCTATTATCACCAGTGAAGTTCTGTTCCTCTGGTATCTGACCATCTTCTTGATAGCGTGTTAGAAGTTCCTTGATAAGAGAAAACAAGAATTAACCTCAGTAGAAGGAGAGCAAAAAAATTCGGCAGAGAACAAGGAATCCACTTCTAAGTTCTAACTAGGTCTCACCACTTCGCTAGGTGTTGTTTGTGAAGTCTTCTCCAAGAAAGAATGCAAACACTGCACACAAGACAATGTATAACCACGAAGAAATTAACTAGTGTACCCAATCAAATCATTCCAAGGAAGATAAGGAAGACCAAGACCAAAGAGAAAGACAGACCTTTGATTTTGTTAAATCGTAATCCCTTTTCATAGCTTGACACAGCAAAGAAACATGATCTGTTAAGTCATTCTCTGAAGGTTGGATCCTGAGTAAACAGCAAGATCGATTCAAAGATGACATAAAAGGAAAACACATCAAGATAAACTAAATAAACATCAAAGCAATACCCATCCACTTTGTGTAAACTGTTCCACACATCGTCGCTTGATGCCTCTGGATTCCTTTTAACAAAGTGAAGACACTCAAGGGTGGCCAGAGTTGTTCTAACTAAAGATTCATAACTCTTTGCTGGTTTTCGTAGAGTTATCCAGTGCATCCCATGTAGAAGCACTTCGATCTTGGGATGTTCTTCAGACAGATCAAACTTCCACGCTTCGGAGAGCTTACAAAATGAATAGTCTGCACAGTCAGTGCCGCCACGCAGAAACACGGGCAGTCCCGAGATATCAGCTGAATCTCCGTCGTCCCATTTTAAAGGCAGAACACAAAACTCAATAGGTATGTCCCTTTCGTCAACGAAATAGTATTCATCAACAAAGTCAGGTAGAATCTCTCCCTCTTCGTCTGACCAGTCCATTAGATAGCTGAAGAAGAAAAACATCATGTTTTTCAAATATTTAGCACCTTAATCTCGCAAACCAAATCAGCCCACATGAGAAAACACTAAATAATCCAAATCCGAGAAACAAAACAGCTGATTAGCCTTGGATCATAAGGGATTCGTGAAATTTCAAGGATACATTAGCATAAAATCCGGATTAATCAAAGAAAAATATGCATAGCAGAGAAGCAATCATAGTTTAGTCCGATATATATGGCCTGCTCTGAAATTTTACCGTATTTTCTCGGATTCCCAAAACGAGCTACCAAAAATATCAAAGAGAGCACAAAAGAAGGCTAAGCTACTTCGTTAGGTTAAGATGGCGGGAGAGAAATGGGGGGAAAAAGACATAGAAGAAGTAGAAACCACATATATCTTAACTCTTATTTCCTCTTATTTTCTCAACAAAGGAACAACACACAAATACAGAGCAGAAAGTGCACAAAAATGGAAGGAACGAGAGTGTATACGCACCGTGATCCTGATTGAGCCGAAGATGTCGTACGGTACGGACGATTAAGCTGCCAATGAAACCCTAAAACCCTTTGTGTTCACAATCGAAAGGAAGGAGAAGAAGTGCGTGACTGTGTGTGAGAGATAGAGGGTTATTTTCCTTAAATAGTAAAAGAGGACGAAGAAGATGTTGAATCGGAAAAAGATTTTAAATCCGTTTTAGGCAAAAAGTAAAAGCTTGTTTTGTTTTTTAGTGAAAAATGACCAGAAACCCCATCACATTTTAAATCACATTTTAAACTGAATATCTCCAATATCAATTATATTGGACATATTCAGTTTTGACCCTCTCGATCGCCGGTAAGTGGTTCGGGTTTAATAAAGTGGTGGCAAAGATCGTCAATAAGTTGAGTAGAAAGGGGCATTGTAGTCAAGAAAATCTTTAGTATCTGCGCCAGTAAATCTTTTCCCGCGCCGATTAAAATCGCTCCTTCTTTCTTTCTCCCCTCTCTGCTTGTACTCCTAATTGGTGTGCAGTTGAAATTTTGGTTCGAGAAGAAGGAAGTACAGGTTTGTGTTATATTAGTCATTCTGGTGATTTAAATTCTCGTAATTTTTTGTCTGCTTTGTAAAAGTTTTGACTTTTTGATAATTTTGGTTTATTAACGTTCTCTCTGATTAATTTTGAAACTATTGATCATACACATATTGAACAAGTAAAGCTTTATTCCATGAAAATATGGATAAACATTGTAAGAAAAGAAAAAGTAACTGAGATTCTCTATAATTATTGCGAATTGAGAGCATTGTAATTTGGAAGAAAAACTTTTAAACAAAGACATTTATTGTAACGCTTGGTTAAGAAAGAGTTTAGTTCAAAGAAGACTGTCTATGCGAGACGGCAATCTCTTGAAGAAGTTACTTGGCAAAGAAGGTAACTTGCTTCTAAACTTTGGGTGTCTTAGATAGTATAGCCCACCAGCCAGTGTTATTGCTTTGAACGGCATTGCGTAAAGGACCACCGATGCAGCCAAACAGAACAAGATGAAGAGGCTTGTAGCTCTTGGGTCTCGCCAGCTCATAAGTGACTGAACTCTCTCTCCCTGAGCTGCAATGTCTCCAACCACAGTCTGGATCCTACCTGCCACGCTTCTGAGCCGGTCATACCTCAGCCGCACCAAGTCCTGTGACCGAGACGTTGGGAATGTGTCAAACTCTTCATCAAGCTCATCAGGACCAACGGCCTCAGCCCACGAGAGCTTCATATCCATGTGAGGAGGGTGTCTCGGCCTGGACTTGAAGTTCCACAACCCGATGAAGAACATGTAGAGAAACATTGTGGGCAAAATAAGTTCAGGGTACATGACCAAAATGAAGAACAGGACATGGACCAGAACCGAAGTAACCGGGTATCTCCAGTTGCAGACATCCTCAATCCATTTCCCGACTAAGAAATAACCAGAGAGAAGCGACATTACGCGGAAAAAGTTGGCTTTGCTTCTTCTCATGCTCCATAGGTGAGAGTCTACATCCAACATGTACTCAACGACCTCTTTCCTTAGTGGCGGCTCAGCTCGGCCTAGGCGAGTCGCAACGATGTTCATGGCTTGGTACCTTAAACCGTCTACTTGGTTAACCGTGAAAGGGAAAAGATAGTGCATTTTGGGGAGAAGCGGGTGACCATAATTGTAGATGATGTTGGCTAAAGAGAGGGTTGTAAAACGGACTGATATCTGGAGGTCTCCCGTTTTCTTGAGGCCGTGCGGTTGAAGAACAAGAAGCGGAAATGAGTGTGTGTAGATTTTGTGAGCCTCTAGTGTAGACAGCCTGATTCGAACCTGTTCCAAAAGACTCAAAATGTAAAATGGAACCAAATGTAAAAAAGCTATTGGCCACTCTAACATTATAGACAAAGAGATATCACCTTTCCGATTCTTGCATCTCTAGAAGCGGCACTTCCGGACTGTACTGAACCCAAATGACAATTGTCGAAAATTCCAAGAGTGACAACAGTACAAGGATCATAGACTTCCCATGTGTACTGCTCGTTCCATCTCGGACTCAGTGAGTCAAGAATGGTTCTTGTTCTTACCCATTTTTGCCCATACTTAGCCACACAATACGCGTCCGTGCTTCCTCTTCCGTCTTTCACCTTCATCGGCACCAAACCTTTTGCTCCGAGAATGCCAATCTCCAACATTCCCACCGGCTGCTTCCACAGCTGTCTAGCTGTCGGTCTTGTGTCACTAATGTACATTGTTGACTCATCCATCACATGGTAGCCTCCTTCAAGACAAATCCGCAGGTGAATCCTGCTTGAGAACTTATGTTCTTTCCTCCTTGAGTCTCCCTCAAGGACTCCGGTACCGTACTTGTCAAGATTGAACCATCGAGAATGAACAGGACGATGGTCTAAACGCTTCTCGAACATGTTCATCGGCAAGCTGATCTTGCCAATTACTTCATCTTTCGAAGTGTGAACGCGGTCTTCCACCGAGATCACTAGCTGCTCTTCGAATGGTTCAGCAACCACAAAGACAAGATCTTCATTCCAGAGAGGATTTGCCGTCTTCACGGGGCAGATCTTGGTCTTGAGGGTTTGCATTCCGACATTGGCTTTGACGAAAACATCAGGAAGCCGGTTTCTGTCACTCGGGATTATGTCTTGAGCTTCAATAACATTGACTCTTAAGTACCATAACTTAGGAGACACGTATACTTTGGATCTGATGTTGAACACGCCCTCTCCATGAACAGAAGCAGAGTCGGCATGCCATGCTTCAGGAAAAGCTTCATCGGCTTGAGTTCCCATCCAGACAGCAAGCATTACTTCTCCTCGTACTACTCTGCCTTCTCCTCTCCAATCCTCTAATTTGTACCACTGCGGAGCTAAAGGACTGTTTGGTGGCACCCTTGTTGGGATCTCGTTAAGATCAAACACTACCTTTCCAAGAAAGTCATCCCGGCCTAGCGTTTCCTTGTCCTTCACAAAGACTTCAAGAACCGACGATTGAATCCGCTCTTTGGTAAACGCGAAAACTTGGTTCCATTCAGGAAGAGTTGTCTTCCTATCAAAGTGTTTCGTTCTTCCCTTGTAGTTTCCAAGCTTCACCTCCACGTAAGGATCACATCCGCCAGTGATTGAACCATGTGGAAGTTCTTTGGCTCTAACGACTCGAACATAGAGATAAAACATCTGCTCCACAAGATCGTATGTGCCTGTGAATCTTTCTCCGGAATTTGTGTTTGGCCATCTCTCTCCAAGTTCGAGATTCATGTCTTTCACCTTAAAGTCATCTGGGTCAGTGTCACCATATGATTGCAAGTGGTTGGTGTTGTGAGGGTGAAGCTGGTTAGCTCCACGCGGCTGATTAGCTCCACGAGGCTGCTGAGTGTGAAGCGGGTTAGCTCCACGAGACTGCGGATTGTTGGTTTCTTGCGGGTTTTCACGAGACCGCAGACGAATGGAATGCATTGGTGCAGGCCGTGCTAAGACTTCTTGTCTATGTAGTTTTTGAACACCTTCTTTAACTTGTTCAGTTCCTCCTTCTGTCTTTTTGCCTTCCGCACACTCACTGGCAGAATCAGCAAGATCTTCTTGCTCTGCTGATGCAAAACTCTCTGGAGACTCTTCTGTTTCAGAATCAGTACTATCTTCTTTTGTTCCAGAAGCAGCAACAAGAGAGGCTTGTGTTGGGCTGGTGTAAGGTTTAGAAGGAAATGAAAGAGGAAAGCTTTGGTCTTGTTCGGATAATGAGATGTAGAATTTGAGACCAATCTCACCTTTAACAGAAGATAGAAGCGATTTCTTCTCCAAGTTGAAACGCTGGTACACTTGGTCGCCTTTGTAAACAATGTTAGAGAAAGAAATCTTGACTCTACCGAGGAAACTTCTACCGGGAGCTGGTCTTCTTTCGTGGTAAACAGAGACTTCAATGTGTTGGTTGTGATGGTTTACTACGTTGTGGTCGTAATCGAAGTAGAGTTTCTGGTCCCAAACGGGGTTAAGACTTTTGGGTACGGTTCTTGTTTTGCTCAACTGATTAAGGAAATCAACTTCTACAAAAGGACTTGCTGAGCCTTGGCCATCTCTGGGCATGAGGTTTTGAGCATCAACTACATGTACGACCAGTTTGGTGTTGTTTCTCATGGTGGGTTTCTTGGTTTCTTGGGGTCCAAGAGAGATTTTAAAAGGGAAAGAATCTTGAAGGAGAGAAACCCAACTGCGGAAGAAAAGTATTTATTCTGTTGAGCAAAACCTTGTTTGTTGGTTGAAGTAAAGAATGTGATTATGAAGAAGCTACTTTTTGTCTCTCGTTGAGATACAAGCTTTTGTAGGATTCTCTCTAGGAAGATCAATTTGGAGGAAAAGTATAAAGCTTTTTCTTTAGTGTAATGTCTTTGGGCTTCTGCAAATGATTACAGAGTCGTGCAATGTCTTTTTTTTCATTTCTAAGTTTATAACACCGAGTCGTGTGGCAAATTAACTTTGGCTGATTCTCGAGACTTTTAACATGAAAATGTGAATTTTCTTACCCCACACAGATCAAACTTTATAATTCATGGGAAGTTCATTTTTGCGTTTCGTATAAGTTAACAGCAAATAACTGTGTGCTGATCTATTTTATGCAAAGCTCAGAGTAAACAATCCTTTTAATTTCATAAATATGTATTCACTAGATATTGACATCAATGGTATAATTAATTCTGGAATGGAAAATAACAAAGTATTGATTTTGTTCTATGTTGAGACTTGACTAAAGGTGCGTGCTTGCTTCAAACAGTCAAGCATGGCAAGTCCTAAGTAATTTCCCATTCTTCCTTCTGCAATGCTATGTCCTCGTTGCGCTGCGCTTTTTTGGAGAGCCAGCAACAATAAACCACTTTTTGTTCCGCTTGCTAACTTGAGAATGTCATCTGTAGCATCCCATTGAATGAGATTCAGTTGAATGAATTTCTATGGAAAACGCTGGAAGCTCAGGCTGCTTAAGTCAGATGCAGAGTGTGACCTTTAACCATCACACTCTCTCCCCACTGTCTTGAATTGGTTTCACTGTAGCAAAAACTGCAGCCGACTAACTACCAAAACGACCGTTTATGTTACTCAACTACAGGACAATCAGAGTCGTATCCGGATATCAGATTACAGTCAGACTCTTCTTCTTCTTCTGATGACCAAACCGGATAAACATTCCTGACACTGTTCTTCCCTAAATCAGCCTCAAAAGATTTCCGATACAGTCCCCTACTTCTATCAAGAAACCCTTCATTCATCATGTTTGCGAATTTCTCCCTGATTTCAACGAGCGGGTGCTTCTCAATGAGATGCCTCCTCTCATATGCTTCTCTAAGGATCACTGTCTGTGTATCACACTTCATAGAGATGTAGAAAATACCCGGGTGTCGCTCAAACACTTTGGTGAACTTCTGGGGAAGAGCAAACGGTTTGCGAAGGTTGCTCACGTTTTTCCTCTCCATCTTTTTCCCAACCGTTAGATGAAGAAGCTCGTGAAACAATCCCACGTTTCTCTTCTCTGACAAATCCGTTCTTGGATCCAAATGAGATGCGTCGACATAAGGCGACGTATAAGGCAGTCTCTGCCATTCTTGAAGCCACTCCATGCTCTTCCTCTTTAACCCAAAACCCCTCGTAAACTTAACCGGGAAGGCCATGTGATCATCATCCCTCAGGTCTTCTTTCAACTGCAGTTTCGAAACAGCGAGACGCTCATCCCAATGTATCAACTTCAAACCAACGAGATCGCTTGACAACTTTACCAAACAGAACAAATCCGGGTGATGAGGGATCAGCGAATCTTGATAATCATAAGGCAAACCCATATCCCATCTGAGATGATCAATGGAATGTAGAGGAAGCGTTCTTTCGACGGTGAGCATAAGGAGTTTGCACAGCCTCACAAGAAGATCCTCTTTGTTCACTTTTACAACATCAGCTTCTTCACGGTAGAGATCTATCGCCTCGGGGGATAAACCGAAACAAGGGACACGAGTACCGGCGCTATCGCGATAACGATGCTCCACAAAGACGTTGGGGTATCTCCGGATAAAAGCGGCGAGCTTGAGATCTTGTGGCAGAGCGAGCTGACGCCGGTGAGGATTAAGGTGAAAGATTGGCGATTTCGAATCAGGAGAAGACGAGATAACCGAAACAAGATTGCAAACTGCTCTAAGATGCTTCTCGCGAACCACAACTGCGTCAAGCTCCTTATCTTTCACCCATTTCAACTTAACGTTAACCAAACCGCATCTCTGCATAAAGTCGAACCCTTTTCTGCATTTGCACAAAGTAGTAGAGAAACTAACCCTTCGCTGCAGCAACCACCGCATTGTTCGCGGCGGCTAGATGGAGAGAAAACCTAAAATCGATAGTCTCCGTATATTAGCTCAGCCTCTGAGAATTCCAAGCATAGATCATTCAGAGCAAAGCTAAAAATTATAAGATTAATAACAAAAATTCTAATCTACAGCATCAAAATAAGGTTGACTGTGAAAACTCGTCAATCTTCTAACAGTGAGTGTTGATTTCCCGACGGCAAAAGTACAGAGAAGAAGAAGAAGACACACAAAGTTCTGATATGTTTTTTTTTTTTTTTTGTTTTTAGTGGGCCGGTGGACCGGTTTAAGGGAAGTACGGGCGGGTCGGGTCAGGATTAGCGGGTTAATAAGGAAATAGTCAAACCCGGTATTGTGTGGCGAGCAACAGAAATTGCGTCTTCTACACAGTTCTCAAGCATCAAAACAGGGTTTTTGCTAGGGTTTTAAGTTTGGCTGCTCTGACTGATGCCATCGACCCTTATTATTCCCACTCAGTAAATCTCCATAGAATCCGAGCTCAAGCTTTACATAATGGTCCCTACCAATGGCGCCAAGGTTCTTCGCTTGTTGACTCGTCGATGTCTCTCCTCAACGCTTGTACAAGATTTTGCCAATCAAGTTGGTCCCTTTCTCTCTCCCTCTGTTTCTTTCTCTTTCTCTCCCTCTCTCTCTGTATCTTTCTATCTCAATTTTAAATTGTCTGTGGGAGTCTGCAGAAACTCAGGGGAGTAGCTGTTGGGAGTTTTCGGAGATTGACTACAGGTACTGGCAATCCTGCCAAAGTGATTGGGGATTGCGCTTCGAAATCTGGTAAATTTTCTCTGTAATCGTTATTCGAAATTGTAAATTTTATGAATTGTTTGTGTGTTATGAGTCAAGAGTGTTTACATTATATTCTTGTAATGTAGGGCATGATCGGAAATGGATCAACTTTGGAGCTTTTAATTCTAATTTTGTTCCAACAAGGTCTATTCATGGAACAGGTAGCATTTGGAGCTTACTTAGCTCTGACAGTTGTTAGATTATTTTCTAATTGAATCTCGTAACAATATATTTTGCGATTCTTGAATATTAGGTTCTTCATCTATGTCCTATAAGGATTACTATGAACTTCTTGGAGTGAGCAAGAATGCTCCGGAAGGTGAAATCAAGAAGGCTTATTATGGGGTAGGGACAATATGGTTGAGTGCTTACATCTTGTTTGTGGATGGGATCCAAATTTTTCATTTGATAGGCCTGCTGGTTTCTCATTGATCAATGCTATTGTTTGTAACTTCTTACAGCTTGCTAAGAAACTCCATCCTGATATGAATAAAGACGACCCAGAAGCTGAGAAGAAGTTCCAGGAAGTCTCAAAAGCATATGAAGTGAGTTTGACATCTTTGACGATATTTTTTTTGTATGATCTGTTTCTGTTAAAATCTTATACTGAAGGGAATTGTGTTTTGGATTAGATTTTGAAAGATAAGGAGAAGCGTGACCTGTATGACCAGGTACATAGGCCTCATCATATTTCTCGGATTTCGTTATTGCAAGCTGGCTTGTTATTGCATTGCTCCCTGGATTACCTATTACCGATGTGATCTAACTTTGTTGTTATGTCTGAAGGTTGGTCATGATGCATTTGAGCAAAATGCTAGTGGTGGCTTTCCAGGTGATGCAGGCTTCGGTGAAGGGTTTAATCCATGGGACATCTTCGGACCGAACTTTGATGTAATGCTTTTCTTTCCTGGTTTTCATCTAATATGTTCTACTCAAATAAAATATTGGCTACAGTTCATAGTCGTTGATATTTTGATAAGGATAGCCAAAGTCATATTTCCTTTTCAATGGAAATGGTTTAACTTATCAACATCCATTGTTTACACGCTATTTCTTTCAACAATCAGATCTTCAACCGGAGGCAAGAATTCGGAGGTCAAGATGTCAAGGTATTACGATCTGCTTATTCTCTTTAAGATATCTTTTGTGCTCCAAGATTAATATGTTTCTCTTTTTTTTTTCCTTCTTTACTGTTGTAAGGTTCTCCTCGAGCTTTCTTTTATGGAAGCTGTTCAAGGATGCTCCAAAACTGTGTCTTTTCAAACCGAACTGGCTTGCAATACTTGTGGTACGTATATATTCTTAAGATCAAAGTGCTTTATATGTTGTTATTGTCTCAATCTTAAGTTACTGATTGGCGTTTTCTTTCTTCCTCTCACATTCAGGTGGACAAGGAGTTCCTCCTGGTGCCAAACGTGAAAAATGCAAAGCCTGTAATGGCTCTGGGATGGTCAGTATCATGTTACAAAACTCTAGTTTCAACACTGTAATTATGGGGTTTTTTTAATTTTAATATGTTCTTTAAGGTGAGACAATTACGTTTTTCAGACATCAATGAGAAGTGGTATATTAAGCATCCAATCAACTTGCCGGAAGTGTGGTGGAGCTGGTCAAACGTTCTCAGTATGTCATATATTTGATTATTGCACTTTTTATATCATATATGCATAGTATTTATCTGTGTATGTATGTCTACATCTATCTGAAGACAGACACCGTCTTCTGTTAGGTTCATCCCAAATGTTTGGTCTTTAAGTAGGTTTCTATAACGATTGGGTTGCTCATCAGTTTCTTGTGTTGGGATATTGCTAGAGTGTTTGCAAATCCTGTAGAGGGGCTAGATTGGTTCGAGGACAGAAGACAGTGAAAGTCAATATTGATCCAGGTAATTTCTTTTTTACATATCAATTAGGTAATCGTGTAGTCTTTTTTCCTCCAACGTATTCAATTGTACACATCTGTTAAATCTTTCAGGGGTTGACAATAGCGATACCTTAAAGGTGGCAAGGGCGGGTGGGGCTGATCCTGAAGGTGACCAACCTGGAAATCTTTATGTTATTTTCAAGGTAACTTTACTGAAGTCGACTTTCCAATGAAGAGATAATAGTTAATAATTTTAATTGCGTTCTCAATATCTCGGCTGTGATCCTTTTCAGGTTCGTGAAGATCCTGTGTTCCGCAGAGAGGGATCAGATATCCATGTGGATTCTGTTCTCAGTGTAACTCAGGTGAAATAACATGCTCCTGTCATGCCTTAAGCGTTTGTTTCGAACTTCTAGTGCAGTGTCCGTGAGCTCTTTTACCATATTTTGTCTTGTTCCTGATAACAAAGTGTACTCTTCATCTTTTGTCAGGCCATTCTTGGAGGAACCATTCAAGTTCCAACTCTCACCGGTGATGTTGTCGTGAAGGTTTCTGAATACTTTTCACATTTCATATGTTTTAAATTCTCACCTTAATTATACCGACGTCTAAAAATCTGGAAACTCATTTGTTGCAGGTCCGTCCTGGAACCCAACCTGGTCAGAAAGTAGTGCTAAGAAATAAAGGTGAGCTGTTTTGCTTGTGTCGATAAGTTCAGTTGTAGAATACCTGAAACAGTATATAAACTTTTGAGTATGATCTTCATAACTTGAGCTAATTAGTGAGTGTAAGACAGGGGAAGAACATAAGTTCCTAAAACCCCCATATGGAAGCTGAGGACAGATTGAGAAAACCAAAACCAAGTGTTAAAGTAGATTCTTGTACGTTTGCTTTTAAATTCACATCCTTTTGTTTACGTGGTACAAAACAGGTATTAGAGCAAGAAAGTCGACTAAATTTGGGGATCAATACGTGCATTTCAACGTCAGCATCCCAGTGTAAGTCCCATAAATCCCCCAAGCAAAATTGTGTACTTTGTTAGGTGGCACATCGTAATCTCTTATGTTCTGTTTATGTTCTTTGGCAGAAATATAACGCAGAGACAGCGTGAACTACTTGAGGAATTCGTTAAAGAAGAACAAGGTGATTGTGAGCGTCGCACGGCTTCTGGATCTTCCCAGTGAAAAAAAAAAGGAGCAATTTTTATGGCTATATCAGAAAATTGTCGATCATCAGTATATCAATCAGACATGATTGCTATTTATATTGTGTAGGATTAGTAAAAGTATTGTTTTGATTTTCCTTTTAATTATATTTTTACGTTGCTAGAAGATAAAAAGAAGAACAAACGTGCGATATTATTGCCAGTTCTTTGCTTCTCAAAGTTTCGAGGTCTATAGATACTGTTCATCTTTTCATTGTCGTCGCAGAACAACACTTTTTGTCAATGTCAAGTTTTTAAGTATCGGGAATTTTTGCAGCTAACATATTTTCGTAATAAGTGTTTTCTAACTTCACGAAATAGAATTGTATAACTTTATCATTAATGTGGAATGTTTACATTTATCTGAAACCAATTCGGTTACCTGCAACATTACTATCGGTTTTACAGAAGGAAACAAATTATTTGAAAAGATAATGGTAATGTTTTTAATTCTAAAAGTAACAAGTTCCTTTTTCTGAACACAATTCTCTGGATACAAATCATACAATGAACATGGAAGGTCGCATACGGACATCGAATCTCCACTATCTCCCGCCATATCACACAGCAACAACACTAAAGAGAAACGAAAAGAAAAAGGAGACGTGGTTCCTTCTTCTTGTCATTTGTCGGAAGAATCGTAATGGAGTTGCCAGTTGTAGATCTGTCGCGTTACCTACAGTTCTCGGACGGTGAGTCGGTTTCTGGTCTGGGTACTGACCTTCTTGACTCGTGCCGAGAGGTGAGTCGGATCCTAAAGGAAACCGGAGCTCTACTGGTCAAAGATCCGAGATGCAGCGCTCAAGACAACGATCGATTCATTGATATGATGGAGACGTATTTCCAGATGCCCGATGATTTCAAGCGGTTGCAAGAGAGACCTAATCTGCACTATCAGGTTCCTTAAGATCTTTCCTTCTGATCGAATCTTTGATTACACAATCACAATCCGATTTTGGCTGTCTGTCTCCCTTAGAACTGGGCTTTTCCCGACCGTCGATTGTCGAATTTCGATATGTTTTGATTACTAGAAATGAAATCTTCACTTGTGGATGATCCACTGGCCACTGGACACGATTTTGGGTTCGAAATTACGATGAAAGCTAATTTGAGCTTTTTATCACTATTGCTCGATTTGTTGATTTGGCTGAAGAAATATTCAATCTTGTTAATGTCTACACCAATTTTGTTCACTGGCTATGTGGATTGATAATAATATTTCAATTGGCTGTATGTGGAAATTGGAATTGAACAGGTTGGTGTGACACCGGAAGGAGTTGAAGTTCCGAGAAGCTTGGTTGATGAAGAGATGCAAGAAAAATTCAAGACAATGCCCAAAGAATACAAACCACACATTCCTAAAGGACCAGATCACAAGTGGAGGTACATGTGGAGAGTAGGTCCTCGTCCATCAAACACACGCTTCAAGGTATGATCTCGATACATCATTACTAGATTGCTAATTACATGTTTATACTATAAAGGTTGTAGTTAATTACCAGTGACCATCTTTTAGGAGCTCAACTCTGAGCCCGTCATACCAGAAGGTTTTCCGGAATGGAAAGAAGTAATGGACTCATGGGGTTATAAGATGATATCAGCTGTGGAGGTGAGGCACACTTTTGCAGATTTGACATCTGATATTTGTTCAGTATTAACTCATGAAGTGATGATTTTTTTTCCTTAAAATTGTTGTTCAGGTAGTTGCTGAAATGGCAGCAATCGGGTTTGGTTTGCCCAAGGATGCATTTACATCACTCATGAAGCAGGTAAAATTCTTAGGCATGTCTTCTATTGTTGGAAATCGTTTGTTCAGTCAGAACCGGTGTCATGTATGGATTGTGATTTCTTTGACTTCAAGAGTATCCTTGTTGTTGTGAATCTCAGGGTCCTCATCTTCTTGCTCCAACGGGAAGTGATCTTAGCTGTTACAACGAGGAGGGCACGATATTCGCAGGATATCACTATGACCTCAATTTTCTAACAATTCATGGAAGAAGTAGGTTCCCTGGTCTATACATTTGGTTAAGGAATGGGGAAAAAGTTGCGGTTAAAGTTCCCGTAGGCTGCCTCTTGATTCAAACCGGAAAGCAGGTATAGAGATATTATCCCACTTTTGTTTACGTTGATATTGAGTAGGAGAAGAAGTAACTAGGTAACCACTTCCTTGAGGTTCTACTACAAAAGCTAAAACTTTGGTGTTTCATGTGTCCAGATAGAATGGTTGACTGCTGGAGAATGCATCGCCGGAATGCATGAAGTCGTTGTTACGAGCAAGACTATGGATGCAATCAAATTAGCAAAAGAACAAAACCGAAGCCTATGGAGAGTTTCCTCGACTGTAAGTCTTCTTAACCAATTTCCTTAACAGTTCCTCGACAAACCAAAACCCTTTTGGCTTATCTGAAAGATTTGTTTTTTTCACTGTCTTGCAGTTGTTTGCCCACATTGCCTCTGATGCCGAGCTGAAACCTTTGGGACATTTTGCGGAATCATCACAGGCAAGCAACTATCCGGCGATACCTGCGGGAGAGTACGTTGAACAAGAGCTCTCTGTGATCAATCTAAAAGGAAAGAAGGGATTTTCATAACTTTCCTACTTCAGTCACAAACCAGTTGCTTCCTCCTGATTCTGAAGCTTTGAAGCCTCTGCTTTTTGTTGAAGTCGGTTGAATTTGGGGCTTCTACTTGTTTTATTTAAACGTTTCAAATGTTTCTTTAACCATATTGTTGGCTAGCCACATCAGTCAAAACCAAATCTCCAAGTCATTATACACACGATATCACAATTTGGTTAACTATGCGCCTACTTATATGACAGTCTCTTACACGGTTTAGCTTCGTTGTCATAATCGAAAAAAGATTGTATGTGTGTATAGTGAATCAACACAACTCAGATCAGTATATATCTGTGACTCTTTCACCTCTATCATCAACAGCTTACATACAAAGTAGACACATTATTTATGCAGTCAAAACAGAGGATAAAATCAAGTCACAAAGAACGGGAAGAAAAAAAAGAAGAAGAGAGAAGATGATTCTATGATGTTCCACAACAACCCTTTCCTTTAGTTTCAGTCTCTTCTCCAGGAACAACGATCTTGGTTCCTTGAAGGAGTGAAGAGTCCCCTCCAGATTCTCCCTCCTCATTGGCAACAAGATTCTTTTTGCTCACTATTCGGTAGATTTCAGTCAGAACCGTGAGAAAAGATAGCTCGACATTGATCGAATCCAGTGCTGATGTCTCCATGAAGAAGAGGTTCTCTCTTTGAGCAAACTCTTTGGCATCCTCGATTGGCACAGCTCGAAGCGTGCCGAGATCAGTCTTGTTACCTATGAGCATAATCACAATGTTTTTGTCCGCGTGCCCTCTCAGCTCTTCTAACCACCTCGCAACATGATCAAAAGACTGTCGTTTTGTTATGTCGTAAACAAGCATTGCACCTACTGCACCTCTGTAGTACGCACTCGTCACCGCTCGGTACCTGAAAACAAAACTCCATAATCAAAAACTGAAATAAAAAAACCTTCCACTAAGTGATACAGATCTCCTCCAAAAACGATCTACGATTCTTTGCACTTAACACGCAAAAAAAATGGATTATAAAGGGAATATCTATACCGTTCTTGACCAGCAGTGTCCCATATCTGAGCTTTGACAGTTTTTTTATCGATTGTAAGTGTCCTCGTCTGGAACTCGACGCCGATCGTTGCCTTGGATTCGATACTGAACTCGTTCCTAGAGAATCTAGCGAGAAGCTGAGATTTTCCAACCGCAGAGTCGCCAATCAAGACTACCTTGAACACATAATCGATCTTCTGATTGAAATTGCTCTGAAGATTTGACATCCTTCCCTGCTCTCCCCCCTAAAATCGGAGCTTTGTAGAGCTCGAAGAGGCGATCGAATGAACTTCAGAGACGAAGAAGAGGATTTAGCGCAAGATCTGTTGAATCATCTGATGAGAGACAGAGGAGACGAGATCTAGTTGGGTCAGCACGTTAGAGAGAATGACCGGGAAAATTGTTTGACCGATTATAAAAGCAGAAAGTGGGTTGCGACTTGCGAGAATCGTTCGACGTGAGGGGAAGAAACGAGGAGGGAACGCCAACCAACTGGGTCCCGCCTTATACCTTTTTCATTTTTATTTTTTTAAATTACTTTATTATAATATCACGGAGACTTTGGTGAGAATTAGAGGTGGCCAATTTGGGTTGGGCTGGGCTGGGCTGCTTAACCCATTCCAATATTAGTCCCACGGTTGGACCGGATCGATCCGATCATTTAATGATAAAGAAAAAAAAATCCGGTCCGTACCCGGTCTGATTTTAAGATTACAAATTTAAAGACCGTAATAGATTAGATACCAATTGCGACGACAATCCAATTTCACCCTCCGTCGCGTGCTCTCTACCTCCAGTCGTCTCTCGCCGTGTCTGTACCACCGTGAGTCCTCCTCTTTCGGTGCTTATCTGCTTCAGAAGCTACCTCTTTCCGCTGACACAAAAGACATTCTCGTTACAGTTACCACTAGATATTTGTGCTGAATTCTGTGGTTTCCTCTCCTGTTATAGGATTAGTGCGTAATTCGAGATACTTGGGCAATCGGTATTGTTGTTGGAGTTTGGCCTTACTACTTGGGCAATAGGATTAAAAGTAGGATTTTGAAAAACTTCGATTTTAAAATTTGCTTTAGGTCTGAAATTGATTGTTTTATACTTGTGTGAACAGTGTTTTGTATCAGGGAAGATAAACCTGTTGAATTGTTATCTTGATTTATGTAATGCTATGCTACAAATGCTCATTGATCCAATTCTGAATAGTCCATGAGAACGGACCTGAGAAAGGTCATATATGGTTAATTTAGTTTATGAGTGAGAGATTAAAGGCAATAGTTGCTTTCAGAATATTGCGTCTTTTACTGATATGGTACCAAAAACTCGTTTAATTACTTTGTGAAGCTAATGTTTACAATTTGTTGTGTAGCTCATTATCTGGACCTTAGATATTAGGTGGTACGAAGCCATGACAGTTTCAGACGTTTATCGTCCTCCTCTGTTCAGGTAGTGTGCCTGAGGTTTCTGCTTTTCTCTTTTTGATGATTTATGTTCATATGAAGCGAATGATTTTAAACTTCATCTCTTCTTTTATTCTCATATTCAGTATAGCCCCGATGATGGGATGGACAGACAATCACTACAGAACCCTAGCACGTCTTATATCAAAACACGCATGGCTCTACACGGAAATGTTAGCAGCTGAAACCATTGTCTATCAAGAAGAAAACCTGGTAATCAATTAAATAGGGTTTTCTTCCTTCTCTTTTTTTTTGCTTAACTCTGCAGATACTTCTTGAGTTTGTGACGCATTGATTTACTCTTGTAATGCTCAGGACAGCTTTTTGGCGTATTCTCCCGACCAGCATCCCATCGTACTTCAAATTGGTGGAAGAAACTTGGAGAATTTGGCAAAAGCTACCAGGCTTGCTAATGCTTACGGCTATGATGAAATTAATTTTAAGTATGTGCGTCTGTTTCTAAAGTCTCCGTTCCACTGAGTTATTATAACAACTTGTGCCATTTCCATCCAACTATGCTTTGGTTTACTGACATGCTGGTTTCGTTCTGTAGCTGTGGATGTCCAAGCCCAAAAGTAAGTGGACGAGGTTGTTTTGGTGCTGTTCATATGCTTAACCCAAAGTTTGTTGGTGAGGCTATGTCTGTCATTGCTGCCAATACCGATGCACCCGTCACTGTGAAATGTCGAATTGGTGTTGATGATCACGATTCATATAGTGAGCTTTGTAAGTTTTTTCCTTACGCCTACTTTTCAAGTTATATGTGTACTAAAGGGTTATTGATGGTTCTCTGCGCTCACACATCCGCAGACATTTTATCGTGTTTAGTTTTTAAACAACAGCTAATAACAACTTTTGGAGACTTCATTTGTGGGATATCTGATTAACTTCCTTTACCTTTCCAATTCTTTATTTGTATTCAGGTAATTTCATTCATATAGTCTCTTCAACATCCCCTACTAAGCATTTCATCATACATTCAAGAAAGGCGCTCTTGTCTGGACTTAGCCCGGCAGATAACCGTCGAATTCCGCCCTTAAAGTGCGTCCCGGCTTATGTTTCTCTTGATATACTCTGTTTGGAAGATATGTATTGCTCTAACACAGCTTGTTTCCAAAGAATCTCTCGCGTTTTCATCTGCACTTCTGCTTGTCAAATGCAGATACGAGTATTTCTTTGCCCTTTTGCGTGATTTCCCAGACTTGAAGTTCACAATAAATGGAGGCATTAACTCTGTGCTTGAGGTGAGCTTGCTAAAACGAATCTTAATTTTGCTTCCAAAGTTGCAACTTGCGTTTACAAGGCCAAATATTTACTTCTTCCTTTGACCTGTAGGCAGATGCTGCATTAAGGTCTGGAGCTCATGGCGTTATGCTTGGGCGTGCTGCATACTACAAGTATGTGAAAGCCTTTTCCTGTATATTTTTATAATCCTGTTAAACATCATATGAGGATTTTTTTAGTTTCTCTCTTTCAGCTATTTTATGGAATTTCTATGTTGGCTATGTAACAGTCCTTGGCACCTATTGGGACACGTCGATACTCTAATTTATGGATCTCCAAGCAGTGGGATTACAAGGCGACAGGTTTTGAGGAAGATTGATGTTCTGAAATAGATTCTTCCACAAATTTAATTGACATCTGATTTAAAATATGTGATGTGTTTTGTTGTCTTGAAATGACATTTAGGTTCTTGAAAAATATCAAGTCTACGGGGAGTCTGTTCTCGGGAAATATGGAAAAGGCCGACCGAATCTTCGTGATATAGTGAGGGTAATGGTGTTTCCAAGGCTCTATCTTTTGAAGTTAATATGTTGACACAAGCGTTATAACAAGCGCAAAACGTTTTTGCAGCCATTGATCAATCTGTTCCACTCGGAGCTTGGAAATGGCCAGTGGAAACGTAGAACCGATGCTGCTCTCTTGCACTGCACCGTTAGTCAATTCGCTGGACACTCTTCTTGGTTACTTGCTACTAAAAACTTGTCTCACCTTTGTTAACTCACCTTTTTATGTTGCAGACAATGAAAACGTTTTTGGACGAAGTGTTACCGGCAATACCCGACTTTGTCCTCGATTCGTCTGCTGTCAAAGAGGCGACTGGACGCGAAGATCTCTTTGCGGACGTACGACGTTTGTTGCCTCCTCCTTACGAAAGAGAGCCACACTCATCCAAAGAGTTGAAAAGTCTGCCAGAGAAACCTACAATTCTTGATGAGGAATGACAAAATCTCAATTCTATTTTTGTTATAATTATACTTGTCCTTAAATGGACCGTTTAATTATTAAATCGTGAGAGAGATACTTAATGTATAAGCCATAACGAAGGATATTAGTAGCCACATATATCATTACAAATTCTCTGTCTAGCAATTTCCTCAACTTGTGAATCAGTTCTTTGTTGTTAATGAAAGCAACATACAAATACAATGTTAAAACACATATATGTCTTGTAACTTATGAATTGTGGTGAACTGATTATTAAAGACTCAAATCTAGTCTAACTGTATTGGACATGCATCTTCATTCTTGGTTAGAGCAAAGTTGATATAGTTCTTTTAATATTGCATTTTCAACCAAAGTATGACTAACATAAATTAACTTTAAAATTACTTGACGGCAAAAAAAAAAAAAAAATTTAGATCCGATTTAAAAGCTACAGTGATCCAAAGCCTTACCTCAAAATAAACCCAAAATCTCTTCCTAAGTTAGAGCGAGAAAGAGTGATGGATGCGACGAACCACGATGGCGTTATCAATTCTACTACGAACTGGAGACTCGCCGGCGGTGCCCTCACAGACTCCATCTCCTTTGAGTCCTCCCTCTCTACTACCACCGCAACCCACGAATCTGACGACGGGATCATCCCCGCCGCCGTCGATCACGCGGCCAAGTCACCGCTGCTTCTGCTCCCTCCGATTCCTAATGGCGAGCCTTGTGAAATTACCAGTACGGTGCTTTTGATCTTCCTATCTTCCGATTCTATTGTTCTTCCTTATTTTTCATGATTCTGTTAAAAACCTCTAATATCTTAGCTTCAAGTAGATCGATTGTAGTTCTATGTGCTGGTGAATGTCTAGCGTCGGTGATGTTTTTGTAAAATGTGATTTTGGTTGCAGTTACGTTTGCACACGAACATGAATTAAGGCAAGTCTATATCCGAAGTACTGCACGGGTATACGAAGTATATTACACCAAGAAGCTGGGACGTGACAGAGAATACCTTTGTACAGTTCGATGTGGCATTGCGATGAGAGCAGAAGAAGTGCTTCAGATCATCCCTCACACTGAGCCAGCTGCTTCTAAGAGTCAAATGGAACCGATTAAGGATGATCATATGGAGACGAAGGTAAAAGATAATGGCAATGGACGCACGAACGAAGATGATTGGGTTGAAGTGAAAGCTGGCGATGCTTCTCTGCTCAATAATGAAAAAGATCTGCTTTCACTGCCACAATTAGGATTACAGGTAATGAGTTTTTGTGCAAGTCAGACTTAATGATCTCTATACTCGAAACCCTTGAGGTATAAATAAGTAGTAATTGATGAACTTTAGGACATAGTTATTGTTCTGTTTTTCATTTCCTTGCTTTATAATAATTGGTGCTAACGGGGAAATGCTTTTCAGGATTTTTATGAAGCTACTGCAGAGATCAATGATGCAGAACCTTGCATTTCAATTACGCTCCGTCTTCTCTCCCTTCAGGATAAAAGATGTGCACTTGTTGATGAAGTTTATGTATTTGCTGATCCTGCTGATCCAAGTGAGTCAGAGCATGAAGAAACAAGTGGAAAAGGAAATTCCTCCACTAGTGCGCTGATGGCTATGTTTATGCCAACTCTTTTACAGCTATCTCGAGGAAAAGATGTCAGAAAAGAAGAGGGCAGACAAGTTTCCGACAAGTCCAACAGCACGAATCCAGGAACTTTGGGAAATTCGAATGATTCAAGTAAGATTGTGAACGAAATTCAGCAGGAGGCATGTTTCAGTAGACCTGATCAGATAGGAGTGAGCTCACCAGTTTTAGTCGATACTCTTGCAAAGCGGGTTGATGCAGCAACGGGAGTATCTGGAGAAGAAACCAAGCCTGCTATATCTTGCAGTAATGTGGAGACTATCCTGCATCAGCTTGTTAACAAGGTAAGCAGAATAGAAACTATCTTGACAAGATTTGAAGATCAGATGTTGAAACCTATCAACAGTATTGATGCGAGGCTCCAGCTAGTTGAGAAGAAACTCGAGCACCTAGGCAAGAAGTCATCTGAATCTGAATTGCTTGTCGAAACAAAGTTACCCAATCCAGGTTCTCTGGGTAGTGATACAGATAAACCTCCTGAAACCGATGCGTTGGATGAATTGACCAGAAACAGAGACAATGCACAATTGTCCTCTTGTACCAGAGCAGTTGTCCCTGACTCCTGTAGTTTAGAGAACAGTGAAGATGATGCTGTTGTACTCAAGAACAGGCTGGATAGTAGTTTTACAAAGTTGGTAGAACCAGGGAGTGAAAATAACTCAATCTCAGGAAATGAGGTGATTTCTGCGGAATCTGCGATCAGTGATAAGGAGGTTAGTCATTCTCTTGGGAGAGAATCTTTTGAAGAGAATCCAAAACGTTCGCTGTCTATAAATGATGCTTTAGCATCTGCACTTGCTGGACTACTGTCGTCAACTTCAACCACGGACGGAAAATACAGCCAAGCCCTCATAGTTACAGCCCCTGAATTTTCAAATGAAGATGACATGGAGATGGAAGAGAAACCTCCCTCCGGTACCTTTACAGACAGAACCCAAGTTGCAGCAGAGGAGATGGGAAACACATACTCTGCTTCGGAGAGCCCAACTTCTTCAGAGAAAGACCCTGGAATTACTCTATGTACTGAAGACGATTCTCATGAAATGATTGATGAACTTCCTGAGAAGTTGGGTGATAGTGTAGGTATATATGACTATCCTGAGACAGTGGTTAGCGTTAGGGACGATGATTTAGATGAAGAGACGGTGTCGTCAAGCACAAAACTTGATTGTTACACAGAAAGGGAGAACCTCAGTTATGATCCCAGGAATCCTGATTCATTGGTTCGCGAGCACGAGAATCCAAATGTAACTACTGAATGCAAAGGAGAGCCAGTAATGGATGATGTATTGAAGAGCGTTCTCGGTTTCCAACCCACTACTTCTTCGGTCGATTTCTTAAGTCCTGTCCTGGATGTGAAATTTAATTCAGAGAAAAAAGTCTCAGACAGCAAGTGTTTCTTTGAGGCACTCTTCACAGAAGAATCTAAGACTGTTGTAGATTGTAGGAACGAAGCGTTTGATGATAACTTGGTCTCAGTGGAAGATACAGAACTAAAAGGCCCACCAACAGATACTCTTTCGTCCGTGGAGATGGATCACTATGAGATGGACAACGAGTTGCATCTACAGTTGAATGCTGAAATATCAACAGCGAGTCTGATATAAAAGGAAAAATCAAAATGCGGCGGCATCAAAGTCCGCATTCGATTTTCGTCAAATTTTTTGCTCCTAAGTTCTTCATGCCATGTCTATTACTCTTATGGAGTCTACAACTTGTAAGCTTTAATGATATATATATTATACAAACTTGACCAATTCTCCGAGCCTCCAAAATATAATTTGGTCATTCAACTATCTTTTGCGATTGGTTTCATAATGAATAGCGAGAGCCGAGAATGAAAATAATGTATACACAGTACGTTGATTTTGGAATTGTAGACTTCTCCGTTTTGGCAATCTTTGTAACTAATAGATACATTTCCATTAAACTAGCTTTAATCTCAACTCGAATCTTATATAGTTATATGTAATGGCCAACATCTTCGTAATTATTCCCCCGTTAAAGTGTTGTTGATAACCCGAAATGAAATGACACAGGTACGCTTGTACTCACTAATGATGATCATGATTCCTCCGACTATGCATCCGGCTTTAATTTCAAGTATTAAAATCCAAGACAACATCAATATGTGCAACTTACTTTAGTAGAACTCCAGGTGTTGTTGCAACGCCTACTAATCCCGACAACAGCCTTGTATAGCTTTTCTCTCTCTCATACACACGACCACAATCACATGCATCCATTCTTACACGTGATCTCCATGCAAAACTCCACTCTTGTCCATAAATACCCATGAACCCTTCCCTTCACTCTTCACTCAAACCAAAGCAGAAGAAAACATTACAAAGAAAACCAAAATGGCAAACAAGCTCTTCCTCGTCTGTGCAACTTTCGCCCTCTTCTTCCTCCTCGCAAACGCTTCCGTCTACCGCACAGTCGTCGAGTTCGATGAAGATGACGACGCCACCGACATCATTGGCCAACAAGTCCCGATGCAGAAATGCCGGAAGGAGTTTCAACAATCACAGCACCTAGTAGCTTGCCAGCAATGGATGCGCAGGAAGATGAGGCGAGGAGGTTCTGGTCCCAGGGACTTGGAGGAAGACGATGAGTTCGATTTCGAAGACGACATGGAGAACAAGCAGGGCCCGCAGCAGAGGCCTCAGCTACTCCAGCAATGCTGTAACGAGCTCCAGCAGGAAGACCCAGTTTGCGTTTGCCCAACGTTGAAACAAGCGGCCAAAGCGGTTAGACTCCAGGGACCCCACGGACCAGTCAAAACAAGACGTATCTTCCGTACCGCTAGGCGTTTGCCTAACGTTTGCAAGATCCCGCAAGTTGGTGTCTGCCCATTCAGAGCCACGCCTTTCGTCCCTTCTTCCTACTAGATTCCAAACCCTCTGCATGTAGCACGATGATGATGATCATGAGTGTGGATGTTGATGTATGTTAACACTACACAATCATCGTGTGTCTTTTAAAAAAAGAATGTAAGCTTAATAATTGAGGCTAATGTAATTAGCACTACTCCATAATAAAAGAGAGGTTTGTTTATGTTTTTTGTTTTACCTTTTGCTACTCTTAAAAAAGTGAGGATAAAAAAGTGAGGATGGTTAGATAAAAATAAAACACAATTAGTCTACTTACTCACAAGTAAAAAAAAGGCATTAGTCAGAATGCTTCAGCATTGTTCATTTGCAATCTCTTTCTGATGCATGTAGAGCCGGCAAAATGGGTGGGCCACCCGTGGGTTGTCCGCGTCTAAATGATTATGGACGGGTTATGGACAAGCCTAAAAATTAAGCGGGTTGAAATGGTCGATGTTCAAATTTGCTCACGGACAAAATGGGCCAGACAGTGTGGACATTGATCAGCCCAATAAACTAAAAAACTTAGGTCTAAATCGATTTAGGGAAAAATTGATTTTCATTCTACGCTTCTTTCTTTTGTTTCCAGCGAAACTTTTCGACAATTCATACTATTTTTTTTCAGTTTTTTCTTCAATCTACAAGCTTTTCTGTCAATTTCTCCAAGAAATTTTCTTCATGGAGTTCTCTCATCAAGAAGATCCTCCACACTCGGTTCAGGTAAAGTTTTCCTTTCTTCTATCTGCGATTTTGAGAGAGACCCATTTACTCAATTTCGTTGCTGTTTTTGTTTCTTTGGAAAGTCAATGATTTTGAGAAAGCCCGATTTCAACTACTCGAATTATAAGTTTTGTTTGATTTCTTAGCTTACGAGTTTTAATCCGTGAGATCTGTCTCCTCTTTAATGTTGGTCATTGCTTTGATTGAGTCGTGATTTGTGATGGATTAGTGTTGCTTCTTCTTCTTCTACAATACTGTATTTTTTTGAATCATCGATGCGTAGCACACATCTTATTGATTATATTGCGATAATATTGTGTTTGTTTCGCTTACTTATTTTACAGTTATATTGCTTTCTGGCTTTTCTCTTCAATTGTATTATATTACGATATTATTTAGCTCCTCTGAGGAATCACTTAATCAGTTCTACATTTCTGCTTAATTTTGTTGGCGTTTTTGTTTATGCGGAAGTCGCTGACTATAAGAGAAATCCATTTGCTGTTCTTTCAGATGGAAAAGGAGGATACTCTAAACCTTGATGATGACTATATGTCTGGAGATGAAGAGAATCAAGATGAAGAGAATCCAGATGAAGTTGAAGGTGATTCACTAATGAGCACAGCAGAGAAACGTACGAGAGGTAACACTAAACGCTAACGCTCTATGTGTTGGAGGAATTTTAAGATTATTGGAGATAAAATGCCTGATGGTAGATTGAGGTTAGATGTAAGCATTGCAACCGTAGCTACTGTATAGCTTTACGTAGGAATGGTACCAATACTATGTTGCGTCACATGAAAGTCTGTTCAAAGACTCCTGGAGGTACTCCTGCATGTGGAAACAGGAAGCTAGATATCATGGTGTTTCGGGAAATGATTGTTGTGGCTATAATTGAGCATAATTTGTCTTACTCTTTCGTTGAGTACAGAAAGATTAGAGAAGCATTTAATTATGCTAATTCTAGTATAGAATTTTGGAGTAGGAATACTGCAGCAGCTGATTGCCTAAAGATCTTTGAGAAAGAGAAACAGAAACTTAGGCATACCTTGAGCGAAGTTCCTGGTAGGTTTTGCTTGACAACCGATATTTGGAGAGCACTTACAATCGAGGGTTACATGTGCTTGACTGCGCATTATATAGACAGTAGCTGGAATTTGAAGACTAAGATATTGTCCTTCTGTGCTTTTCCTCCTCCACATACTGGTGCAGCTATAGCCACAAAGGTGTTGGCATTGCTGAAAGAATGGGGATTAGAGACGAGAGTGTTTACAATAACAGTGGATAATGCTTCATCAAATGACAACATGCAAGGTATTCTCAAGAGACAACTTCAAAAAAACTTAGTGTGCAATGGAGAATTCTTTCATGTAAGATGCGTAGCACACATCTTGAATCTGATTGTGCAAAATGGTCTAAACGTGATTGTTGAAGCTTTGGAGAAAATCAGGGAAAGTGTAAAGTTTGTGAAGGTGAATGAGTCTAGAGAACAATCGTTTCAGACTTGTGTCGAAACTGTGGGAGTTGAAGCTAATGCTGCAGGACTGGTTTTAGATGTAACAACCAGATGAAATTCTACTTATCTGATGCTATCTAGAGCGATTATGTATAAAGAAGCCTTTCGCCATCTTGCTGAGGTAGATACAAGCTATATGATTTTTCCATCCGATTTAGAGTGGGCAAGAGCAGAGTCGATTCATGAGTTTTTAGCCCCATTTGCAGAAATGACTAATTTGATCGCTGGATCATCTTATCCAACTGCTAACTTGTATTTTATGCAAGTATGGAAGATTGAAATGTGGTTGAAAACACATGAGGAATCATATGATGAAGCTATTCGTGAGATGGTGGAGAGTATGAAGGTTAAGTTCGATAAGTATTGGGAGGATTATAGCGATATACTTGCCATTGCTGCAATTTTTGATCCTAAGTTGAAGTTCACATGTCTAGAGTATTGCTTCGATACTTTAGATCCATCCATGAGTAAGTCGAAATTGGATCATGTGCGTAAGAAGTTGAAGAAGCTTTTTGATGTTTATAAGAAAAATCCAAAGAAACCTGCATCCGGAACTTCAGAAACAAGAACATCGGAACCAAACATCCTTCCAGGCTCTGCTGTATGATTCTCTCACAATTTCTCTTATGTTTTTGATATGTGTGATTAGTGTTTGTTTTTTATAATTTAGAATCGTTTCAAGGATATTATGCTTTTATTTTCCAAACGGCTGGTGCTAATGGAAAATCATCGTTAGACAAGTATTTGGATGAGCTGGTTATGGATATGATTGCATTTAGGAGTTTGGATATTTTGGCTTATTGGAGAGATAATGCTAATCGTTTTAAGGAATTATCTACCATGGTTTGTGATGTCCTTAGCATCCCTATTACAACTGTGGCTTCAGAATCTTCATTTAGCATATGAAGTCGTGTGTTAAACAAGTATAAGAGTTCACTTCTCTCTTCAAATGTGCAAGCTTTGATCTGTGCAAGAAATTGGCTGCGAGGCTTTAAAGAAATTGGTAATTGTTTTTTGCTTTTGTTATGTTTGAATTAATTAGTGTTTGTTCGGAATATATCATAATGTTTAAGAATCATCATATTGGTCGTTAATGGACAGCCCATTTGAAATTAGTCGTTAATGGACATGGTCTATAATGGGCATGGTCCATAATGGACATGATCACAATATGTCCATAAATAAAATGGACAAAAATGGGCTGGTCCAAAGCATGTTTGTTGTTCTGATGGTCGCGCGCGGCCGTGGCAATGCTCAAATAGCACTGACAAACGATTAATGAATTGATGCAGTATGTGATTAAATTAAACTAAATATCAAAACAAGTATATAGGGCCGGAAAAGTCGGAGGGAATCCACTATGTAAAAATGGAAGATCCACAAATTGTGTAATGGGCTGGGTCTCTTGGGCCCAACGTTTTGTAACACACACCTATATATATATCCCCAAAAATTCTTGCGCAGCCGCATTGTAGAGTGAATTAGGCTGCATCATCGGTCTCGTTGCTTCTAGGGTTTCACCAAGCCGTCTCCGTCGCATTTCCGCCAGCAATCATGGTTAAGTTTCCTGTCTTTTTCTTTTGCTGGCCTTGTTTGTGATTTTGATCTCTCGCTCTTTTTTGTCCCTCTAAAAATTCTGAGTTTTGTGTTTATTTTTTTCTATTGGATCTGTGGATCAGGTTCTCCAAAACGACATCGATCTGCTCAATCCTCCTGCTGAGCTCGAGAAGAGAAAGCACAAGCTCAAGCGTCTCGTTCAATCTCCAAACTCATTCTTCATGGTACTTTTTCGTTTTTCTTCTAAAAAGCTAACTCTACAAAATTCAATATGATGCAAGAAGTCTGATTCTGATTTTTTTTGTTTTCTGTGTGTTTCAGGACGTTAAGTGCCAGGGATGCTTCAACATGTGAGTTGTCTAATTTACTCGTCACTGATTCTTCTGTATATTCGTTATATGTTGTAGGGAAACTATAAATTGGTATTATTAGGAAACAAAAAAACAAAAATCAGTAGTGATGTGAATGATATTGTCTCACTTAGTAAATATGATGTTGTAAAAATGGAAGTTCCACTAATCTGTTAGGTGATATTGTCGATTTTGCTCAGTACTGATTCCTCTACATCAGTCAATTGATGTTGAAAGCTGTTTTATCAACGGTAAATTGGTATTATTAGAAGGATTCTGTCCAGTGTTGTAAATGAGCAGTGATGTGAATTACATTCTTGTTTTTGATCAGTACAACTTCTTCTACAGAGTTGAATGATGTTTTATTAACTAGAGAATGAGGATATTAAAATCAGTAGTGCTGAATGTGAAGAGATTACATTTTTGGTAACAAATTGTTTGTGTGGGTTATTTGCAGAACCACAGTGTTCAGCCATTCTCAAACAGTTGTAGTGTGTGGAAACTGTCAGACGGTTCTGTGCCAGCCCACCGGTGGTAAAGCGAGGCTCATGGAGGGATGTTCTTTCCGGAGAAAGTACGATTGAGATCCCACTAGCCTTCATCATCTCATCACAGATGTTACTCTTGAGATAAATCAGATCTTTTATTCAGTTTGCTATTCTTGCTTACTAGTTCTTAATGGTTATGACGATTTTTTTAGTATGAGAAGATTTTGAAGGCATAATACTACGTAGTTGAGTAGTTAATGCTCTGGTCGCGTTGCAATAGAATCTGCTTTCGTTGAATCTTGTTTCTTGCTGCATCAGTTGTCTGGTTTCTTGTTCATGTTTGCATGTTGCTAGTTTGGTCATTTGTTCAACTAGCAGAGCCATTGTTTAATGTGGAATGAAATAAACACTTTTGAATGACTTGTGTAAAAGCATTGTAATAGTGAACACAACTAGACTTGATTAGTGGCTCCGGTTTGATGAATTAGAATCAGTTTTTCAGCCTCTGTTCTTAACAGTGCTCTAATTTGCATCTCTTCAGCATGTAAATTTACCTTTGCAACTTCCTGATTCGAACCCGCGACCTGGAGGTGCCTTGGTTATACAGTTAATACTTATATGATATCTAACGTGACATCCAAATCCCTTAGGCTCTGATGAATCTTGTTTACTACTACAATGTCTCGACCACAATACTGGAAATACGTTTTAGGGTTTGAATTGAAATCTACAACCTGAACTCAGAGAGAAAATTCTGTTACCAATTATGATGCGTTCGCCTTCACAGTTCACTTATAAAATAGATGCAATACAGCAAAAGAGAGGATAGTTTTCTTAAGCTTGAGGATCAGCGCAAAGATCGATTATTATTATATCCTTTGTCTAAAATCGCTACTGGTTGTGTCCACATTTGGATAGCGAGATGTGAAACTATTCCAAGAAATATCCTCTTAGCAACATGTTATTGAGTGTTTGTAATCACACGTTAACTTAATGTTGATAAACGACAAGACAAAGTATAATGTCTAAAATCTAAAATATCTAGAAATCTAGAGCAAGGATCAAAGTGTGGCTATAAGCGAAAGAGAATCTCATAAAGGTAGAATATCATGAGCAAGAATTTTCGCGGCGCCTTGAAATGTGAGTCCGAGTGCGTAAACACTTTCCAATAATACAAACCCATCACATGCTTTCAGTTTCCACCATTTCTTCTTTTCTTTTTTTATCTCCGGTTTTTCAGAAAAGTAAATAAAGATGATTTTAGAAAAGAAAAAAAAATAAAAAAGTAATTGTTCATTCGATCTTAAGAGAGGTAGTGAAGTACAATGAACTTACGTCGCCGCTGGATCTCTTAAGCTGTTTGTAACTTTAGCGAAGCATCTTTCCGATTCTGATCCTTTTTTTCACACATATGAAACTTTTTTGGGTAAGAGGTGACTTTGGCTTCGATAATTTAGTTGTCAAGTTGCTTTTGTAGGTAAAGTTAATCACATTTTAATAACTAAAGTCGCTTATCAATCAAATCTTTTAATATAAGTGGAAAATCGTTAAATTTTGGCATTCACCTAGTAATTATAATGTGTTGGTAAAGTAAAACTGTAAACAAGTAGATGATGGTTGTAGTTTAGATGTATCATGTTTTTTTAATAACCCTAACCTAATAAATTTTACCGTACTAATTTCCTCCCTTGTGCACTAGAGACAATCAATTAAAGACTCAATTTATTTACCGATGGTGTTGTTTTACAAAAGGAATGATTAATAATATTATGACGTATCGAACTTGAATTCTAATCGAATGATAACAAACTTAAAATAATAGTAGGTCTAGTACTTTACAAGAAAAAACAGACCCGATTCATCGCCAAAGCAACCCGTTAGGTCACATTTATAAACCAAATTAACATAAAATTAGCATCTCGAGATTATTTAACAAGTAAAAGACATTCAAAATGTATACGATCGTGAAATGTAGGCACGATGAAAGGGAACGTGACATAAAGCCATAAAGCTTAAACAGAAAAAAAAAGTAGATGATCCACTACATCAAATGGTGTATCTCCACGTGTCGACCTGTGGGGAGATTGCTCCGCCATTAAGTAAACCATATAGCCGTTAATTAAACAATTTGATAAGACTCATAAAGCCACATGACTCGTGACAGTACCTTCTGAGTACACTCCTATATAAACCCCTCAAGGCTCTCACCACCAATGTTCCTTTCCATGCTAATTAAGCAACATCCTCTTATATATATTTTCAACGTAGAAGAAACACCGTTACTTAAAGCTTGCAAAGAGAAAAATGAAGAAAGCTACGGCATTGATGAAACAGATCGTTGCTTTGCTGAGCTCCATGGCAAAGGCTAAATCCATAGCCATAAAGAACAAAACAAGTGACTTCAAAACACGGCTCCTCATGTTGTCTCTCGTGAAACACAAGAAGCTCGGGTTCCGTTCAATTTCCAACAAGATCCACAATCTCCTGGGCCATGCAGATCAAGACCACGACCATGGCCAAGACGAAGACAAAAGCAAGGCTATAATCCTCTACAACAGCGGAGCATCCACAATGGCTCATCATGAGAGTTATGACGTCCAAGAGGAGGACAACGAAAAGTATCCTGATCTGAGACACACGTTGTTCGAAGGAGAGGAGGATTTTGGGGACTTGGAGGAAGGCCAAGGAAGTTCTGTGATAGAAATGGTGAGGAACTCTAAAGAAGAAGAAGGAGAGAGTTTCAAGCTAGAAGATGAGATCGACCATGTCGCAGATCTCTTCATTTCAAGGTTTCATAAGCAGATGAAGCTTCAGAAATTATTGTCCTTCAAGAGGTATCAAGAAATGCTAGCCCGAGGCACCTAAACTCATATCCATATAGATATATACATGTTGGCAATAGATATGAAGAATAGATTCATATTATGATCTTTGCTAACGTTCATATTTTGTGTGGTCGATCATAAATCCTTCGAGCCCGTTATTTTCAAGGATCAAATATTATGATCTCATTAATGTGTTTTCAATTATCATGTTGGGGTGAACGAAGGATCTGGTTTGCAATATGTATTTTTTTCCTCCTCGAGGTCGTACTATATAGTAAGATCTTTGATGTGTTATATAATATTTGAGCATTCTCCTCTCTTTGTTTGGCTTCTATATTTCACTAGTTCAAGTTCCTAATTATTCTCAGTCCATTGGTCTGACTGAGTCGCTTTGAAATGAAATTTTAAGTTAATTAATTTAATTAGTCTTTTTACAAACATTTAATATAAAATAAATTAGTAAATTATATATAAAAACATCTTCATGATGCATTTCCAGACTAGTCTTAAATAAATCTTTATAGTAAATAAATGTTTGAACTCTTCTTCAAAAAAGAAACATATAAATGTTTGAATTTGGTTGCACTGTAAAGTGATGATTGTGATTGTAATTCTTCATATCACACAGAGAGTGAGAAAGAGTATAGATAAGTTTAATGAAAAAAACATGACAATAAAGGAGAGACATTTTTAAAAATAAATTTTCCATATAATTGATTCATTTAATTCTCTGAGTTTGAGGAATGTAAGAGCATCCACAATGCAGATCTTTTGAGAGATTCTTAAGTTGAAAAAAAAAATATATATATATGATGTGGCATGTGAATATTTCAGAATCGACTCTCTGAGGCGAGTCTGTAGGATCGATTCTAAAATACTGTTTATCTGATTTCATATCTTCGTAATCGATGGCTTTTTCTTGGATTTGCAATTGCAATTGCAATTTGTGACTGAGGAGGAGGTGGCGGATCGAGCAGCACAATGGGACCAACCGGTATCGGAGTATCTCCAGCTCGCCGAGCGGTACTTAGGTTTTCAGCAGCTTGCCGCCGCGGACTCTACTCACGGGTCATGGAAGCTCATCGCTGGTAATAGCTCGATGATCTTGTTTCTTCTTTACTTGTTCCTCGCTTGATCATTGATCATAGTTCCTGGCTTAAGCTTCTTCTCCGATTTTCTGGGGTTTTCTATTTTTGATAACTTCTTCATGATTGTTCGCTTTCTTGGGCATTAATTTGTGAAATTGTGTACACTATTAATTGGTTGTTATTTGTGTGAAGCAATTTCTAATACAATCGTTGTTTCAGGGAGTTAAGCGATGGCAAACAACAATGGAAAAGCTTGACTGGTTTTCCGGAGAAAGTCTCGGAGAAGGCGAACCAGAGGCCAATGAAGCTAGGGAGATCGCCGGGAATATCATCTACCACGCCAGATACAGTCCACATTTCTTCCCGTTGAAGTTTGGGCCTGAGCAAGCTCTCTACGCCACTGCAAAGAGCCTTCGCGATCATCTCATTCAGGTATCATCAGTGTTTTCTGGATCTTTTTCCTTAAAGTTTCATTCGATGAAGATGATTTCGAGAGAATATGAAGGTGATGTAGATTTGGGTGTATGAACATGTGGTTGGATTTTGCAACTGCTTGAGTTATCTTCATTTTCACAAAGTTGATCCGAAACAAACACATATATTTGTGTATGTATGTGTATTTGTGTGTGTGCGTGTGATATGAGCATGAGGATATAGTGAGTTTAGCTATGTGTTCTCTAGCTTTTCACTGAGCTTGATATTAACCATTTCAATGGAACTATTGACCAATTTGCAGAAGTAAGTGGGTAGGCGGTGATGTTGTATAAAATTCCTATGATGTGCATCGAACTTCCTAGGAACAAAATTCACCGTCTTTGATGGAAATCTGCTGCCGCAACGGGAGTCTCGAAGCTGAGAAAGAACAGATCCTATAATCCGGCAAAAGTTTCACTAAAAGTTTCTCTTGGAAGTTACCCTGTCGCTCATATCACATACCAGTTGAACGTCTTGGGATCCCGGTAATGCTTTTCAGTTTCTACCTTCCTCTTTCAAAATGTTCTTTGTCTCAATTGTCTGAAACTGTTCTCCAATATCTCTTTAGAAGAGTTATTAAGCTCTTTGATCTATGTTTCTTGGAATTGGTATTTTTACTCTTATTTGGAAGAAATGACAATCTCTCAATTTATTACCCGCCCAAATTTCCTGATATACTACATAGGAAGAAGTTGTAAACAAGACAAGATCATTTGAGAAGATGAAAAGGGCCAAAAAATGCGTAGCGCAAGGTGAAAAACTCTGCAACGAAAAAGTAGAGTTTGAGGATGCAACTTATGCAAAAGTATGTGTTATCCACATTCTGATTTCTTCTTGCTTAGATTAGAATCATTTGATTTTCTAATCTGTTAATTGCTCCTAAGTCATTATTTATGCACATTTTTGAACAATTTACCCATATTTAAGAATTTCATAGAATCTCTCCAATGTAAGCTTTGAAATTTAGAAAAAATCATTGAAACTCTTAACTTAAATTAATAATATATTTAATATTAAAATATATTTAAGAACTCCAACATAAAGTTGGATGCTCTAAATAGAAACGGGTTCTCCAGTAGATATGAAGAAGATACATTTTTACAGCTTTTTGGTGTTCAATTAAAAAACAACGGTTTCATTAATTAAATTAATACTTATTTATTTGTCTCATTCCGACATGCATGAAATCAAAAACGGATTTTGGTGGGGTGTGGGCCCCAATGAACGGCGTTGAAACAAAAAATGTCTAGTCCCGTGTGCTTGTTGACACACGCGACTGCTCTCATAAACAAAACAAGTGGCCTCCCTCCTTTCTACTGTTCTACAACAAATTAATTTCTTTTTTGTCCTGACTATTCTTTCGTACTAACATGCATGATTCATGATGCATGTGATGTGGTATGTGGATTGGTGGTAAACCCGCAGGAATTAGTTTACGCAAAAAAATAAAAAGTTTACGAAAAAATCATAAATTTATCTTGTCGGATACCATAATCTGGGAGAAATACAAATATCTCAAACAATTAATGTAAGATTAACATGTTTTTGTAGACTATAAACAAGAACGCCAAACACATGGTGCATGCATATCATTCTGATATCTCTATATAAAGTATGTCGAAAGGAGTAATGAGTATTAAAAAATCAAAACTATCATTTTCTACTCGTTAAAGATATACTATTACGAGTACAAAATAATGTTGCAGTAACTCCATAATTACATGTTTACAATACCCATGCTGCATCTATACTTAGTTTGGTGGCATTAAACTAAGTTCCGCAAACGTAAAAGTAGGAAAAACAAAAGAAACGAAAGAATACAGCTCATATGAATATATGATCTTTTTTTATAAAAGGAAAAGAATATAAAATTAATAGCTATCTGCAGTTTCTTGTTTTATTTTTCTACTTAATTATCCCCCAACTTAAATAAACTGGGATTAGAAGTTCTCTTTGTGGAAGTCAAACTTGGTGGTCGTCTTTCGAGAGAAATCCAAAGCCAGATTTTTTAGTTCCTTTGTCAATCCTGGTGCCCCACAATAGAAGACTCCTGCAATCAAATTCATATTAGTATTATTTAATTATATAATTTCATTAATTATGCTATATCACATCAAAACAAGACTAATAAAGCGGTCAAGATTAGTTAATTACCGATTCGTTTGTCGGGATGCTGAAGAGCGATCTTCTTGTAGACTTGTCTCCAGTTGGGTTTGGCAAAGTGGGACTTGACACGTGTCCCCGAGACAACATCAACACCGTTTTTAGCGTGCTGCAGCGACTGAAGCATGGCTATAAGAGCCACCCTAGCATCGCCTTCCTCGTACACGCTCGTGCAATAGTTGTGGAGCTCGATCACACCTTCCTCGTCCAGCTCAGAAACCTCGTCCATAATCCCCTTGAACCACTCGAACGATCCTTGTTCCCGAGTCACCCAGTAGAAATAAGCTTTCCTCGTCCTAAACCCTTTGCTGTTCCCATTACCGTTGTTGTTCTCGATGTCGCTGTCACGGTTATGAGTTTTCATGTTGTTGATAATGTCCTTGAGGATACTGATCATAGGCGTGGCTCCAATGCCGAGACCAACGAGGAGTACCACGTCGTACTTCTTGTAGTCTTGTGCGGGAGCACCGTAAGGACCGTCGATAAGGATCTTTGGGAAAGCAATGTTACCGGAGTCTCCTCCTTCTGCTCTGAGCAGACCGCTTTTACCGGCGGTAGGAGGTTTGCATACCTCGGAAAAGACGGTTCTGAGCTTACGTGTCCAGTCACCAAGCGTGCGGATGTGTACGCTCACGTAATCGTCTCCGGGAGCAGATGTGATAGAGAAAGGATGCCATTCGAAGGGAGAGACGGCTCTGCAGTTCACGAACATGTACTGTCCACTCTTGTATTTGAATCCTTGTGGCTTCGTCATGTGTAGAGACAAAACGTTCCCGGGATAAACAGCCACCTGTTACACATATACAATAGTCTTTAAAATAAGTTCAAAGAAATTTTTTCTAATAAAAGATTGTTATTTTTATTTTTATTTTATATCTGACCTTGAGAATCTTAACCGGTTTGATGCTTGATCTGAAAGCACGGATCAGCCTTTCAGATGCATAAAGAAGGATGGGTACAGCGAGATACATCCATGTCTGCAAGATTCACACAAACACAAAGTGTTAATTAATTAACCCGATAAAAGGAAAGAAAATAAGAAAACAAAAACGGTCAAGTTTGTAGAGCATACCGTTTTCTGATACCAAATCTTGGTGAGGTAGAGCTTGATACCGTGGACAATGAGAAGAGCATAAACAATGATGAACAAATGGTGTGAGTACCAAAAGGCATTGAAACCGGTAAGCTTCTTGAGAAATTTAGGTAAGTTAAGCTTGTTACGACGGAACCAAGGCGTAGCGAGTGTAAAAGCTATAGCCATAAGCACAACCATCACAATACCAGTCCATCCTTCTACTCCTTTCACGAAGAACCAGTAGCTCTCCGGTTGCTCCCCAAAGTAAGGTATCATAGGCTCATAAGTGTCCTCGTCGGCGGCAAGTAAACGCGGGAAATCACACGTTAAATGCGACACCACGTGGAGCAAAACCCCGACCACAATCCCGCTTGCAATAACCTTGTGGAAGTTGAGATTATCATCAAACGGAACGACAACACCTAGCTTGGTTTTGTTCCTGAGCCAAGTGATGGTGTTGCGACAAACAGGCAGCAATATGAGAGCCATGTTGAACTTGAGAGTCTCTGCGCCTCCTTTGGCGACACAAACGCAATAACCCATCACGCCGTAGGCCGCTTTGTGCCGGTACTGAATGAACTTGTAGGCGAATAGACCGCCGCAGATGCCAAGCCATAGCATCATGATCCATAGTCTCTGCCAGTTGTCAAGTACGAAATATTTGATTTTCTCCGACCATCTCACCAGAGGGTTGCTCTCTTTCGCCGGTTTCAGCTTCTGGCTTAGCATTTGACTTAGTAACCTGCTGTCTCCAATCCGCACCGACTGGTTCGGTGCTTGTAACAGCAGCATTTCCAAGTTTTCGATCTGTTACACCAGTTTCCATTTACATATTATTAGCTATAATAATATGTTACAAAATGATTATTTTTGATATTTACGTAGATTTCTCCCAATGTTTTATAGATGTAATTGTACATTCGTATAGATTCGACATTCTAGACTGTCTAAGCTTCAACTAGTCCTAAGATTATTATTATTATATTTTTTATAAATAAATTGGCGACGTATATTGTTGATTGATTTGATCAAATAATCTCAAGATGTCATGGCAATTTTCCACGACTTTTGATTTATAAACCCTTGGACTTTTTTACACGTTGTTTCTAGTATTTTAAACGTGGTGAATTTACTATATACCATTAGTGATGGAGTGGTTAAAGGTGGACCATACGTACCATAATGTACCCAGCATTGTCTGGGTCCAACTCTTCCATTATCAGGGCTGCATATTCTTTGGCTTGCTTTTGAATATTCGAGAGCTTGTTTGCTGAAGCACTAAGACTAATAATCTGCAATTAATTACCAAAAAGAAGGTACATGAAAATTAATAACCTAAACAAAAGTAATAATTACTAAGTCTATCCATTATGTTCACATGAAGTTAATGGATTTGTGATGTTAACAGTAAACGTCAGCAGATAAAGTCAGTGGGATTTGCGCGTGGACAAATTTGTCAAGATAATCAACTAAGAATATGTGTATATATTTTTTAACCAAAAAAAAAAGAAAAGGAATAGGGAATATGCATATAGAGATTTATATATTTTTGTCACGACTATGAAATATGTGTAAATAAAATATGAGAAAAGATAATTATTGAATGGTGTGTGTGGTTCTCACCTCAGCGACCTCTTCTTCTGTTACTCGCCCATCTTCGTCTTTGTCCACCCTGACCACATAATGACATCATTTATTAGTTACCGATGCACTAAACCTCCAAAAATGATTTTATAACTAATTATTTTATTATTTCGATCCCAAACTCCTGATGACCGTTTATTTTTCAAAACGCCAATATTAAACGACCATAGTG